GGTCCGGCACTTTCCTGCTCCCCGCACCAAGCCAATGGTGCGCGTCGCCAGCCCGGTCCGGCCCGCTATTGCTCCCCGCACCAAGCCAATGGTGCGCGTCGCCAGCCCGGTCCGGCCCGCTCCTGCTCCCCACACCAAGCCAGTGGTGTGCGTCGTCAGTCCGGCACGGCCCGTGCCTGTTCCCCACACCAAGCCAGTGGTGTGCATCGTCAGTCCGGCACGTCCCGTGCCTGTTCCACCGGTGCCTGGTCCGGCACCGGTCAGATGCTTCACGCCGGAGCTAGAGCAATCCGCTCCACCAGTGTGCAGTCCAGCTCCGGCCAGCGGGGTCAGACTGGACCAGGGGTACTTTGGGGGGTTGGAGAGGGAGCGGGGATCAGGCCCGGAGCCGGATCCGCCGCCTAGGCGGAGTGCCCACCCGGTCCCTCCCCTGGGGTATTTGGTTGACGCGGTCGGAGTCCGCGCCTTTAGGGGGGGGTACTGTCACGCCCTGGCTCTGGGGACACTGTTATGTTGAGCCAGGGTGTGTAGATCTATGTGTTGTGTTTCTATGTCGGGATTCTATGTATTGTATTTCTGTGTTGGCCAGAGTGGTTCCCAATCAGAGGCAACGAGTGTCAGCTGTTGCTGGTTGTCTCTGATTGGGAGCCATACTTATAGAGGCTGTTTTCCCACATTAGTTGTGGGATCTTGTTCTAGTTGGTTTGTGTTAGACCGTTGACTGTCACGTTATCGTTTTTGTTGTTTTGTTCTTGTGAAACATTTAAATAAATATAAGTATGTTTGCATTCAACGCTGCGCATTGGTCCTCTGTTCCCGACGATCGTGACAACAATGGGAGGAAGTTTTTACTATTAGGCTGATGGAGTAGTAAATATTTTTTGTAAGTTCTGAAGTTATTAAACAATAGGTTGTTATTTTAACACATCAATGCCATAAGTGGAGATGATTACATTACCAAAAATGGGTTATAGGTTTAGAGAGAAGGTGTAGTCAACTCAATGAAACGTGGTATGTTAAGGAAGGCGTAGGAGATCACGTCTCAAACAACTGTTTAATAGACGCTTGGAATATCATTGATTCTTTACGCGTAGTAAGTGATTATATTTGTGAATGTCTCAAATAGTACGTTTAGAGGGGTGACAGGAACAATTTAAGGGGGAGGTGACTTGGCCCATAGCTTTGCTGTGTATCAGTTTGACAGTGTCCTGGTGTCTTCTGAGGCTGCTAACTCTCCTCTGATGCATGAAGAAGAGACCTCTGCTCCCAGCTTCCCACTGATTCAATTGCCAGCCTAACACCAACAACCATAATATGTAGGGTAAATACAATGAAGTATTCCTTAAATACAATAGCAATTACAGAGTGCCAACATCAATTGTTCATATTCATGAAAGTTCCCCCACTTTGCCTGCTTAGGTCAAGTGCCACATGTAAAGCAAGGTCTTGCACATTCTCAGATTCCCTCTTTAGGATTTCCCAGGGCTGCTTGACTTCCTTTAGGACAATTAACTCTTCCTCCTTCAGCCGTCTCACGAGCATCACCTGGTCAAATACTATTTTCTTTGTGAGTAGGTCAGCTGTAAATTCATAAGAATGCAATGTGGATTTGTAACTTGAATGGTAGTGCTGTCTGTGTTTGCGCAACTGAACAAACACAGATAGCAAAACAGAAACTTAGTTATTGTGACACACGAACATACTACTTACTTTGTCCATGCAGCTCCCAAGGCCATGCATGAAGGTCTGCGGAAAGGATTTCATCTGCAGATGATATTGCTGAATCTGGTACAAGGGTGTTGTACTCCTCTATGGCAGCTGTCAATTTGGCCTTTTCTTCCAATATCTTTCTGCACAGAGGGTGTCGTCTCTTGCATCCATCTGTCATCAAAACAAAAAAGAGAATGGAACTATTTGTTAAATTGCATGGCTTTGAAATTAAAGAGAAATGAAGTGTGTGCAATTCAATATTCAGGAAATTTAACAAACCTGTCTGACGGTAGAGGTTCTGTTTCCTTTGTTTGATGCTAAGAAACAGGACTTCAATTGTTCTCTGTAGTACCTGGGGACCATCCAGGTTCTCAGCTGTTTCCTCAGAAATACAATAAATCTGTAATTAACAATATATCTCCAACAGTGAGTAGTGGCACTCACTTCCTGGAGGAACATAGGGCCTGTAATGGTTTCTGTAACAAATTATTTGTTATGTGGTGAGTGAGTAAGCCCCACGCATAACCCCCAACCTGGAGGGCCAGGGAATGTTTTGTCTGCCTCCTACCCTTCGACCTGTCCGGCTTGATTGCACCTGCCGGTGGAATACACCCTCTCCAGCTTAGCTCTCAGGGTCATTGGAGTACGCAAGCCTCTCCACTATGTCAAGGTGACAGTCCAGGAGAGTTACATTTAGGATTGTATTTATTTATTTGAAATAATTTACCTGTATTAGCCCATTGCTGAACTTCTGTTGCCCAAAGTCTCATCGCCTACACCCAGATCACTCTTCAACCTTTCGAGAGTCTGGGTCTCCTCCTGGATTTTTGCTGTTGTCTGAGAATTAAATAATTAATTGTTTAAAAATAAAAGAAATGCATAGATATAATACTTCTAAAAAGAAATGTATTGATCCACACAATATACCTTCAAGTATCTTCTGGACAATGCTTTGTCCAGGTTCTTCTTCTTCCTTCTGTTCCACCGCATGGCCTGGATGGTTAGCATGTCTGTTCTTGCTAGAAAAGCCAAATATAACTTATTCCAGATAAGCGCTAACATAGCTGAATAGAACAACCTTAAACAAATTGTTTATCTCCTTTGGATATTTGCCTGGAACAGATTGCAGCCCTCAAAAAGAAGCTGTTCCCTTGTTCCACTTCCTCCCCTAGAGTGCTCCCAGCTCCATCCTGAATCTGTCTTCCCCACTTAATCTTAATTTACATCAAAAATAATATTGACTTAATATTGTAATTATGTGAATAACAAACATCTAAATGCGAAGCCGTGTAAAGGGCTGACGCTGGAAATTCTCTTTCAACAGTTTAATAAAGAAAACAATGTGTCTTTGCATGCATGACGGAAAGAAGTGGCTTCATGTCTAGAAGAGTGGCGAGCTCTGGACAATGAAGGGCAACTTCATAAATTTACAGATCATATCCATACACATGAATTGTATGTTCCTGCTGCCAGACAATTCCTTCTGCAAGAACAGTGGGTACGCAAAGATCTCTCCATGCATCATGTTGAGGCTCCTCAGAAGTGTTCTGTGGCGGCAGACGGCAACTTCAAGTCCCTCTTCATCAAGTTTGTCGTTTGTTTTCCTTGACGACTCTTTAGCTGCTGTCCACTGGGATGCTCCACATACCCCTTTTCCATAACCCTAGACAAGGAAGTAGAAGAGTATAGGTTGAACAAATTCTTTTTTGGGGGGGGACGTTAACGGGACATTGGTAATTTTTTTCAAATGTAGCTGAGGGCGCTGAGCTACCCCCTGTGTTCGCTACAATTGAGATCAGAAGTGGGAGAATGACTGTCAAAAAGAAGCACTTGTAAAGTGTGTTGCATTTGGGACAGTGAAGCGTGGGGATACATTCTGAACGGAGGGAGTGACCCTGGACTTGAGTCAGCTGGCCAGAGGCCAGTCCTATTTAACAGATTAGAAGATACACAGGAAACGTGCATGTTTAGTCTTTGTATGGACATAGTTCACAAAGTCAGACATCCTCATCCTTGCAGATACAGTTCACAAAGTCAGACATCCTCATCCTTGCAGATATAGTTCACAAAGTCAGACATCCTCATCCTTGCAGATAAATATGCCATCAAATAATCCTTTGTCATCTGCCCTTGAAAGGATACATGAAATACATTATATATATATATATATATATATATATATATATATATATATATATATATATATATATATATATGACAAATCAAATATCAAATCAACCTCAGTAACTGATTGTGGGACACTTGACAATGTTGATCATTCATTTCATTACAAACTCAAAACATTTAAGCTAAAAAAGAGCTCAACTGCATTTGAAGACTTTCACACTGGACAGAGAAAAGGCAAACCTTGTTTGGATTGTTTAAACTATATAGAGTATGGTGTTATTTGATCAATTATGAATAGTTTACATACCCTTTTTTGAATCTATACAGTTTCTTGTTCCCGTCCACTGACACTGCAAGCATGCAGGGGGAACAGGCTGGGCAGTCAAAGTGCTGTATATCGCAGACCTGATCAATTTCAGAGCGGCAGTACATCCACTCAAATAAGCTTTTTTGAAAAGTGTCCCCACAGATCACTCCGTTCTGGTAAGGGAAATATACATATGGGAAAAATATGAAATAGCTTACAACAATACTATAAACAAAACGTACTATAATTCACTATGGCTGACTGGATTTGAGTTAAAGCAAGGCCAGTGCACAGTGTTGCCAGCAAAGCAGGTGAAAGACAACACAAAAGTAGGATGAGTACATATGTTGTAAAGAGCAGGAAATATTGGATGCAAGAGGGGCACAGATAACGGGCATGGCAGGACAGTGGTGCAGGAGGCTAACACATACTGTAGCAAGAGACCAGAAGTTTTAATGTAGTTGTAGAACTGGCAATACATTTTGTTACAACGCTTTGTGTAACATAACTAACATATTGTCAACCTGAAGTAATACATTGGTAAAGATGATTATAATTTATTCTTACCCTGCCAAAGAAGTCAGTTCGCTGCTTCAAAATCTGTATAAACGCCAGATGGGACATTCCTGGGGCTAACACTTTCAGCTCCTCAAAAGAGCTGAACAGATCTGCCTGGTATATGGTGTCACAGTTGACAGTGGCAGGCCAGTATCCCATTCTTTATCAGATGTGCCAAGTTTGCTGTCCAGGTGCTAAGACAGGTTGTGCAGGTCAGTAAAGGCACTGTGACATTGTAGCGACCTTGAGGGAAAAAAATGTACAGTCTGAATTAATGTTGTTTTACATTGCATTACTACATCACTGTTCGGTTCTTGTAGATATTGCACGTACCATTTATTCCTACGAGGACAGTATGTTTCCCAGGGCCAACATAGACGGTGCTTGTCAGGCAACCACATATCACCTCTGCTACGTACAATGGTAAGAAACAATCTAGGGACAATATGTTACACAACAATAAACAAGAATACATTTTAACTTTGATATGATACATTCAGCCGCAAAAAAACATAAAAACACACCATGTTCATGAAGTGCATATTTGCCATCACTGTGGAGAGATATGGCTGTGGTTGGAGGAAGGGGCGTGTAGAATTCCTCGATCGTGGACTCTCTGTTGTGCAAGGGGAACTTCGCATGTGTAGAGACATCGCAGTCTTCGCAGTAAAGCCGTTTCGGCAGATAGTCTCTACATCGCAGAATAGCCGTTTTCACATTGCATGACTGACAGATATTCTGAGAAGCATGCTCTGCAGCCAGCGCAAAGGAACCTGCTCAAATTTCTCTGTTGAGGAAGGGGGGGCTAAAGGGGGGTTTTGCCAAATAAGGAGAAAGTGGGAGGGGGTGACAACGATTAAGAACACACCCATCCAAATGTAAACAATGCATAAAATAGTAGCCATGTGCTATGTTGTCCTTACAGTCCTAGGAACTGTTAATCACAAAATAAATGTAGATTTAAGCTGTAAATCACAAAATGTAAATTAAGCTTGAACCCCGGGCATGGCTGCTTGCAGCTGTTGTTTAAATTTGCATTATGGTGTCCCACAGGTGACTAAATTGGTAAGTTGCCTTGTGATTGAAAACTGGATACAAATATAATTAATACAAAAAAATCATTCGTCTGTATACAGAGCCCTATCTTGAACCCCATCATGGTTGCTAGCAGCTTCATTGTTTAAATGGTTTTTCATGGTGTCCAATAGGTGACTAAACTAGCGACAGGTGCCTTGTGACCGAAAACTGAACACAAATGTAATTAATTAAAAAAACAATTGATTAAAGTCTGCAAAGATAAATCATACTGCACATTTTCACAGTAGGGAACATTGAACATCAGATCACACCAGCCACACCTGTACAAAATGTGGAAAACAACAAGGTGAAAGAAATGACAGGACAACGTGCCCCACAGCACAATTGCTCCACTGTCTATGTCCCCTGTATACCCAATGGGCAAGTTAAGGTGATATAAGGACTAAATTACAAGAGACAAACAAGTTCATGTGAAACTGTCCCTTTGTAGTAGACATATTTAACTGTATTCTACTCAAATCATTACTCCTTTTTATACAGTTCTTATTTCAAATTCATATATTGTCAATATATCCCTTTCAAACTCCCTTCCCACACACAAATTAGATGCATTTACTTTCATTTAGAGGGATCTTTTGTACTTCTATCTTTTGCACTTAACACAGTGAAGTTAATTTTAGTTCACCATTAACATTCAGAAGTTAGAGGGGGCCATGGAAATGATGGGAGTGTCTGTATAACTGTCCCTTTGTAGTAGACAATTGTAAGTATTGCTTATGTTCATGCCACACGAGTGAAATACAGATTAGTTAGAAATGTCAAACGTAACACATTTCAGCATTGTCCAAATATCTGTTCCTTTGGAGTAGACAATTGTTAGCATGGGTTACACAACCACATTGGAGAAAGGACCGACGTCAGTCTGGTGTCTCACCTCAGACCTGTTTGTCATGGGAGTGCCTGCCAGTAGTCATAGGCTACAGACAATATAGCTCTGAGGGTCCTCAACACACACAAGCCTCTACACCGCTTCAAGGTCTCGGTCTTGGGAGATGGGAACAAGGTGAACTATATACAAAAGGAACGTCCACGACCACCAAACGAGTGGCTCAGTTTCCTTCAGCACCTCGCCCCTTAGCGTCTCTCATCTCCGCCAGCCACTGTTCAACAGTCTTCCCCTCAGAAGCTGAGCAGAAAGATACGGACCCGAATTGCCTCTTTCCGCTTCAGCTGTGCGCACTTTCTGCATTTGTATTCCTTCCGCTTTCTCCTCTTAGGAGGGCACCCTTTCCCCTCGGCTGCGGCTTCTGCTTCCTTCCTCCACCGGAAAGCCGTTGACCTGGCCACTGTAAGTGATGGTAGGGGGCCTTGGGAGGGGCCTGGCGTAGTAGGGAGGTGCTGCTGGGGGCCCTGGGAGGAGCCTGAAAGAGAGCAGGGGGGTTGCTGCTGGGGGGCGGGAAGAACGTGGGCTGGCAGAGTGGGCACTGGGGCGGGCCGTCCTCACTGGGTGGCCTAGCGTGAAAGGTCCTTTGGCACTGAGAAGGTGAAGGGCTGCAGGTCTGGGGGTGGCTCGTAGTGGAGCGGCCTGGCAGCAGGGAGAGGCTGGGCGGCAACACTCGGGCACGGGAGAGCACCAAACCCTGTTCCAAGACGGTCCTCTCCCTTTCCTTCTGGCGCCGAGAGTACCTGTCACACGCAGACAAGACATGCAGGAAAAACATTGTCAGTCAAGTATTTTGTCATTATCATCATGGTAATAAATCTCAACACAACTTGGTCAATATTGTTAATGTATTATTATCTTACCATTGCGAGATGGTCCTCTGGTTCAGCTCAAAGAGCTGAATGTTAGTCTGGGCCATCAGCATCGGGCTATCCAGCACTGCCTCTCTGATGGACACGTAGTCCGCCAAGATGAGCGCCCACCTGCTCCTCTTGGTGCCGCCAGACTGCGTGCCACTAGGATGGAGCCGACAGAGCTGGCTGCAAACGGCCTCCACCAGGCGACTGGTGCCTGGCCAAGTTGCAGGGCCCGAGTTCAGTCCGAGGAAACAACTTAAAATACAAAGAATAAACCAAAGAATAAAGGTTGGTATGTGCAGTGGATGACAAAATAAAAATGTAATAATAAAATGAGATACCGTTGGAGACTGTCCTTTCCAGGCATGATGGACATCTTCCCCTTTGTTGCCTTGAACCACCCCCACTCTATTCTGTCCTGGTGACGGGAAGGGTAGACCAGACGTCACTTGTCAGGCTGTGGTAGTGCCTGCCAGAGCACTAACAGCCTGTCTACCCACCGCTCCGACAGTCCCTGAAGACTCCTCACCTCTACCAAGGCATTGGCCAGCCTACGGATGTGCTGGTATCCTGGCTGGCCATACGGGCCTTGGCACTCCCCCTGAGGACACACAGGAAACAGACCACTTAGGAAAAATGTAGTTTTCAATGTTATGAAAATAGTAAACTACGAAGTACGTTTGTAAAATGTTTCCATTAAGTTAAAACTAAGCCTTACCTCAGAGCCTGAGGAGGAGTCAGAGGGAGGAGAATCCTGGTGTTCAGGGGCCTCAGGAGGTTCACGGTCGGTGGCGGCCGGACTGGATGGCCCAGACCTGGGAGCGTCAGCTGGATCACCTGACTGGGCTGCCGCAGAGGTGGAGGATGAGGCGACTGGTGGAGGTGGGTCGGAAACGTGGACAGTGGGGTCCTCATCCTCCGCCTCCTGAAATCCCTCGTCCTCCAAGGGTCCCTAGGTGGCGTCGGCCTCGTCAGGAGTGTCAGAGTCCAAGCTGATGACCTGCAGCACTTTGTTGGTCTGGGCGTACAGGTACTCAACACCAATGAGTTCCCCTGCGATGTAGTGGGAGAGCACACAAAGCTTAATGACATAAAAACGCATCACACGTTTACACAAACCTATGACATGATTAACGTACCTGTGTACACGTCACCCTTTGGCTGAGCTGGTTGAGGGAGTGCTGCAGGTGGCCACTGTAGCAGAGCAGAGGCTGCTTCTGTCCCTCCACTGCCGCTGAGGCGCGGTTCTCGTTCCACATCACCAGTCCATCCAGGAGGAAGGCCTGGAAATGCATTCCTTTGGCACTGATGCCTAAGAGTAGAATAATGGGTGATGAGAAGGTGAACACAACTCACTTTAGTGTCAATGATTTTACTGGTAACATTTCAAAATGATAGTTCTATAGTTGTAATTACCTTGGATGAACCGGTTGAGGTGGAGGTGGTACGACTCCAGAGATCCGTAGCGATACACCGGCAGCTTCACTCCGCCCTTGGTGATTGGCTTGCTGGTGTCTGTGTACAACTGTACACCAGGAGGGTCTTGGATGCAGTGGAGGTGACGCCTCTGCTCTTGCCAGATTGCCTGGATGCGGACGGGGTCCAGCAGCGGGATGCCCAGGGTGTCGTGCCCCTTCTCACTGTTGAAGGTCCCCAGCGTGTCCATGAGGAGGAGCTCCGTCTCTACAGCTCCATGCGTACGGCAGTGAAGAGTCATCTCCCTCCTCCCCAAGTAGCTGTAGACCTCTGCGTCGGTGAGGCTGACCATTCCCTGCTTCCCCAGCTCAGACCGCTTGGCCTCCAGCAGTCTCCTACATGCCATTCAAAAATGCAGGACGACAGCTGCTGCATGAAGGCCCTATAAACATGATGCGAACCGCGGCAGCAGATGCCTGATGTCAAGAGGAACCACCAGCTGGTCCCATTCAGGAAACATGGCAGCTGTCTTAGATCTGTATGGACCGCCGCATCTAGGCTTCGCTGTGGCACTCACACAGCTTGTTGTACAGCTGAGTGGCGCTGTTCCCCAAAGCACGCTCCCTCAGCATTCCGACAACTGCCAGGTCACAGGAACACCTGGAGAGAGGGGCAGTGAGAAAAGGGTGAGGGACATTTAGAGTACTCAACTGTACTACAGCAGTAAAAATAAAAAGATGCATTTCTTCACTTACCTGTAGGTCAGAATCGCTGGAAACTGGCAGCGATGCGCAGGGTCCAGCTGACCCAGGATGTCCTGTGACCAGCCCGCCACCTTCTTCTTACACCGAGGGCACTCCAGGGACTCAGTGGCCATGAGATACCAACCCTTGATGTCCACGACCCTCGGGATAGTCTTGTACAGCCCAGCCTTGGTGAGGGTGGTGTTACACCCAGGCTGGGTGCATGTCAGCTAGAATGCCAGAGGAACAGCGGACATGCGAAGAAGGGGTCGGCTGATGCGGGGGGCTGATTGTAGACCGGCCGGGGTTGGGGAGGGTACCACCACGGACGCAAGTCTGTGATGAATAGGAACCTCCCCGAGCTGCTCCTGGTAAACAGCGTCCGGCCAATCCACCGCTGCTGCTCCTTGTTGAGAGTTTCCCGCCAGCTCTCTGGAAGCAGCAGCTGCATTTAAGAGAGAGGAGTTAGAGAAAGAGAGAGTTAAAACTACAATAAATGGAAGATTCATTTTCCAGCGTGACCCAATACAAATATCCAATTACCTTTGTAAGATTTGCGATGTTATTTATTTTATTCACCTCAGCACTTTCTTGGGCATGCCTTGGGGCAAATCCTCCTCTTATTCTCTTCACCCCACCAGGGCAAGGACAGAAGCCTCGGATGGATTCAGGGGGTCCCGGTCCAGGGAAGCACAGGATGGGTCATCAGCCGGATGGGGGCAGTGGTGGAGGGACCTGTACGTTCAAGGCTTTATACATAAATCAGCAAAAAGTGATGATTGTGCTGCCCAAGGATGTGATCAGGACAACAGAATCAGTTAAAGCAATATATTGATTTAGGGTTAGGGAATTGAAACAAGTTAAGCTCAGGTTGATGTCAGAAAAGCCGGAAAACTCTGGAAAAGAGCTTTGGAGTGGAAACAATGTCACAATGTGTTCGGAATCTAATCTATGTTATAGATTTAAAACAATAACATGCCACATTTTTTCACAATGTGAGAGTAACATTATGAAAATACTAAGTAACAACTACAAATAATATGAGTATCAAAGTTGGAAAAGAATGGAGGGGGATACCAGCACCAGCACCATGACAGGAAATCTATAGCCAAGCGGCAGCCTGAATGGGTTACAGCTACAGTACAAAGCATTAATGCAAATGCATTGATACGATTGTAAAAAAATATTCTTGAAAAATCGAGTTGGAGCCGGGGCTAAAGTCAAAGGGCGAATATGATTGGACCACACGTCAAACGGGCGATGGTGGTTGGATACAGTTAATTGAGACTGTCTCGTATTCCCATTGGTGGCTTTTAGTGACTTTTCGATAATTGAGACTGGCTAGACATCGGATTGGCCGACAATGTTGTCAGTCATTACAGTTAGTTGAGACAATTGAGACAGAGAAGAATGTGCTCCAGAAGGCGAAGAGGAGCAAAGAGGAAGGCGCAAAATCTACAATCTCAGGCCTGGACTCCCTCCAGCTATCCTGTGAGAGTTCCTTCCTCACAACTGTGTGATGCACCAGGCACAGCATGATTTGCACACTCAGGGTCTTCTAAGTCAGCTAGGAGGATGTTAATTTCTCGATGAAGTATTGCTTTTTTGAAAACACAATCAAAACAGGAAAATTATTAAATTAGGAATATTATATAATTAATCTATTAAATCGCACACAGGGCTGTATGTAGGTGACAGCAAATATAGACAAGCCAAAAACCTCAGTTTTGATTCTACAGTAAATTCAATTACATGGCAGACCAAAATATTGAGAATTAAGTCTAAAATGGAATATCACACAATAGAACTTGATCCCATCGTCGAATAGAAATTCGGAATGTTCTTAAAACAGCAAAAACACACTGAGTGTACAAAACATTCTCTTTCCCTGACAGACTGAACAGGTGAAAGCTATGATCCCTTATTGACATCACTTGTTAAATCCACTTCAGTGTAGATTAAGTGGAGGAGACAGGTTAAAGCTGATGTTTAAACCTTGAAATAATTGAGACATGGATTGTGTAAGTGTGCCATTCAGAGGGTGAATGGGCAAGCCAAAAATATTTAAGTGACTTTGAACGGGGTATGGTAGTAGTAGCCAGGTGCAACGGTTTGTGTCAACAACTGCAACGCTCCTGGGTTTTCAGGTTCAACATGATCCACCACCCAAAGGACATCCAGCCAACTTGACACAACTGTGAGAAGCATTTGAGTCAACATGGGCCAGCATCCTTGTCGAACGCTTTCGAACACCTTGTAGAGTCCATGCCCCAACGAATTGAGGCTGTTCTGAGGGCAAAAGGGAGTGCAATTCAATATTAGGAATGTTTCTTCATCAATGCTGAAAACTGGAGTGGATTCCAATCCATTGGTCCTTGTCTCTAAAATATGTTGATAAGGCCATTTTTGGACTTATACTAATGATATGTAGCCATTGATTCTTAAAGATTATAATGTATTAATGCCTCATGAGTTTAGTTCAACTGTTATACTCCATCAGAACCCAAAATATTAGCTTGTTTTACCCAAACTATAAGCTTATTTTAGTAAAATGTTTGTAAACAAAGTAATTGTAAAAAAAAAAAACACTGTACAGCCTTAGAACATGGTTAAAATTATTATTTAAATATAATTGATGGTAAGTTCTTGCATCCATAGCTCTGTCTATAAATTGAAAGTGGTTTCATTTCCCCAACCCCATCACTCAGCCTTTTACCAACACAGGGGAGAGGAGTGTGCTTTGTTATTGTTTCAACTGATTAAGGCTTTAATAAAAAAATTTAAAAAAAAAATTAGTTACAAGGTCACTGAATAACAAGCAATTGTATATATTAATCTATTCAATCGCTCATCAATACCTGATTCTTCCTTCTCAGTGACTGGCCCAAAAGTTTGCACTGGTCTGGCGAAGTGGATGTAGTTGTCTTCCTGGTTTGAGGAACAATCTGTCCTCTCTCATCCATTTGTCTCCATCTGAACCTTGTTTGTCTATTTATTCTTATTTTCCTAAAAAGTGCATTTCAATTATCATTGCTGGTCCACTAATAAAAGTCTCTCACAAGCATGTCTTGCTTGCACACATATGGAGCACAAGCAATCATTTTATTTTCACATAGGCTGAAGGGATTTGTCAGCTGAGGAAAGGCACCTGCAGTAGACCCACGTTCTGGGTCACTCACACAGCTAACATGTGTAGATGTTCACAAGGATGCTAACATGTGCACCCTTGTGCCTCATGCTCAATGTGCAATATCATTGATGCCCGTGATCAGGTCATATCACTAAGTCTCTGTTTAAATTTACATTTGTGCCATGTGGGCTCTACTTTGACAAACAAAATGCAATGATAAATCATAACGCTGTGGTGTTGGGGGTGTGTTGGGAATATTTGTTAATGTATGGGAGTTATAGGGGTTACATTACCAGTAATGTAAGACTTGTTACATTACCGGTTCTGGGTTGAGCTCGGTAATTGCCTCTTCCAGTTGGGCATGTGGGTCCTTCTCTTGGTTGAGCTCCTCAGCAAGCCGTTCTGTCTTTTTAATAGCCTCATCCAGTTGGTCTTGGGGGTCCTCAGAGGCCATACCATCTCAAAAGAAACATAAAGAGACAACTTCCAATCCTAACACATTCCTTCACATAGTAACCTCCCCTGTCTATGAGAGGAAAAGCTGCATATCATTGACAGTGTGTTTGTGTGTGTTTTACTACGTCCTGCATGTAATTAAAGGTCTTCATCCTCCTCCACACGCAGACTGACTGATCTACAAATCACTTTGCATACCAAATACATACTTATTATTACTTGCAGATCAGTCAGTCTTTCACCATTTACCAACAATGCATTATTCATCTTTCACTTTCTTTGTCATGTTGTTCTGTGACGTGTGCAACTCCTTAAAGGCAACAGTGTCTGCAGGTTTCGGCTCCTCCCTTGTACATGATCAATCAATTTAGGTAATTGACTAGTTAGGACCTCCTCTCACCTGATGGTCTATGTCTTAACAGGATTTCATCAACTCCTTTACGTCCCTCCTAGGGTCCCTCTCTCCTTCTTCCAAGGAGAAGTCACAAGATGAATACAGATTGAGTAGCAATGTGTATTTCTTTGAAAATGCAAAGAGAAAAAAGGTGACTATATAGCCTAATGTATAAGTGGCTAAAATAATGTGAGAATGATATTCAAATATATGCAACTAATGTAAAGTAATGCAACTAAACCACACACTTTAACAAACACAAAACAAATGTGTATTATTGCTGTATTTCTTACAACAAGGGACGAACTGGTGACCTACCTGTTATCTGTCCACAGTCCAGACCTCTTGTGTGGTGCGGAAAATATATAAACAATAAATGTCACATGACCGGATGAGTTAACCTTTCTTGTTCTTCTTGTAACTTTCTGGTAGGCTAGAAGCTTTCTGGTGTTTTGCTGCTTTTCTCAGGTCGACGTGGGTATTACACATTATTTATTGCTCTCATAACGGTAAGTGCAGCCCAGTGGAACTCCAAAAGCTTCCTAGCTATTTGGCACTGACTGTAATTTTAACCCAAGATAGTTTCTAGTGAAAAGGTGCTTACACTCTGAACTATGTATATAGACTTAACCAGCTCATAGTACAATTCCACCCTATACTTATAACGGGTTAACATTTTGGTCATTTTACCATATCATTTTTGTATGTGCTCTATAGTTATGTACTTGAAAATGTATCAATTGACCAATTCGGCACATTTGGGCAGACTTGATACAAAATAGTCCAGTATTGCAATGCTTCACTGCACACACACTTCCACACACTTCAAAGTGTTTCCTTTCAAATGGTATCAAGAATATGCATATCCTTGCTTCAGGTCCTGAGCTACAGGCAGTTAGATTTGGGTATGTGATTTTAGGCGAAAATCGGAAAAAAAAAATACATTTAAACTCAGTTTTTCACAATTCCTGACATTTAATCCTAGTAAGATTCCCTGTCTTAGGTCAGTTAGGATCACCACTTTATATTAAGAATGTGAAATGTCAGAATAATAGGAAAGAAAATGATTTATTTCAGCTTCTATTTCTTTCATCACATTTCCAGTGGGTCAGAAGTTGACACACTCAAATAGTATTTGGTAGCATTGCCTTTAAATTGTTTAACTTGGGTCAAACGTTTCGGGTAGCCTTCCACAAGCTTCCCACAATAAGTTAGGTGAATTTTGGCCCATTCCTCCTGACAGAGCTGGTGTAACTGAGTCAGGTATGTAGGCCTCCTTGCTCGCACACACTTTTTCAGTTCTGCCAACAAATTTTCTATAGGATTGAGGTCAGGGCTTTGTGATGGCCACTCCAATACTTTGACTTTGTTGTCCTTAAGCCATTTTGCCACAACTTTGGAGTATGCTTGGGGTCATTGTCCATTTGGAAGACCCATTTGTGACCAAGCTTTAACTTCCTGACTGATGTCTTGAGATGTTGCTTCAATATATCCACATAATTTTCCTTCCTCATGATGCCATCTATTTTGTGAAGTGCACCAGTCCTTCCTGCAGCAAAGCACCCCCACAGCATGATGCTGCCACCCCCGTGCTTCACGGTTGGAAATGTTGTTCTTCGGCTTGCAAGCGGCCCCCTTTTTCCTCCAGAGTACATTTCTCCAAAAAGTACACTCTTTGTCCCCATGTGCAGTTGCAATCCGTAGTTGATGAAGATTTTTTTGTAAACTATTGGATAACCAAAGTTAATTACACACATGATGAACAAGGAGTCATAATTAAACATTGGTACATTGCTGTTGCTAGGCAATAACTTAGTGAATTCCTCTCACTAGGTTTGTGTGTGTGTGTAAAATGGGCATCTGACCTGTCATTGGGTCAAATTCTACAGTTGTTCTATCTTATCAGAGACTGAAACCAGACTGTGGCTCTCCTTAGGCCTATCCCTGGAATGAGCCAGGGTTGAACAGAGTTCAGGCTAAACCCTTTGTCTCTCCCTGGCTATCTTCTTAATTGATTACTCGCTGTTGGCTGGGCTCCCTGCCTGTGCCATTAAACCCCTACAATTTATCCAGAACGCTGCAGCCCGTCTGGTGTTCAACCTTCCCAAGTTCTCTCATGTCACCTCCTCCACACACTCCACTGGCTTCCAGTTGAGGCTTGCATCTACTACAAGACCATGGTGCTTGCCTACGGAGCTGTGAGAGGAACGGCACCTCCTTACCTTCAGGATCTGATCAGACCCTACACCCAAACGAGGGCACTACGTTCATCCACCTCTGGCCTGCTAGCCCCCCTACCTCTACGGAAGCACAGTTCCCGCTCAGCCCAGTCAAAGCTATTCACTGCTCTGGCACCCCAATGGTGGAACAAGCTCCCCCACAACGCCAGGACAGCGGAGTCACTGACCACCTTCCGGAGACACTTGAAACCCTATCTCTTTAAGGAATACCTGGAATAGTATAAAAGTAATCCTTCTACCCCCCCCTCCCCCACCCCCCCATAAAAAAAAGTGGTTGTCCCACTGGCTATCATAAATTTAATGCACCAATTTGTAAGTTGCTCTGCATAAGAGCGTCTGCTAAATGACGTAAATGTAAATGTAAAAATGTACATTTACATTTGTGTATGTTTGAAAGATTAAGTTTGGAACTGTCATGTCCAACAATCAATCTTCAGGTCAACTGAACATGAGTGTTTTTGCATGACAAGGGTGTGATTGATTGTAATAATATTGTTTCTAAACTGAATGACAGTCAAATTTAGCCCTATTATAGACTAAGGAAGTGGGCGGAGCGGTAGAGAGCGGGAAACTGAAGATAGTGGTAGGAGAACCCAAGAGGGAGGGGTTTTGAGCTAGGAGGGATGTGAATGGGACTATATAGACGGGGAGCAGAGAGAGAGAAGGGAGGCTACTCTGCAGACCAGCCCGGCTTTGTTGAATTGTAACAAAGTCAATCTTGATTCTACAAAAACTCTGGAAGAACTTTGATTTTTAATAAAGTATAGTGATTCTTTTCCACATCATAGTCTGGCTTTTTTATGGCAGTTTTGGAGCAGTGGCTTCTTCCTTGCTGAGCGGCCTTTCAGGTTATGTTGATATAGGACTAGTTTTACTGTGGATATAGATACTTTTGCACCTGTTTCCTCCAGCATCTTCACAAGGTCCTCTGCTGTTGTTCTGGGATTGATTTGCACTTTTCGCACAAAAGTACGTTCATCTCTAGGAGACAGAACGCATCTCTTTCCTGAGCAGTATGACAGCTGCGTGGTCCCATGGTGTTTATACTTGCATACTATTGTTTGTACAGATGAACGTGGTACCTTCAGGCGTTTAGATGAACCAGACTTGTGGAAGTCTACAATCTTTATTCTGAGGTCTTGACTGATTTCTTTAGATTTTCCCATGATGTCAAGCAAAGAGGCACTGAGTTTGAAGGTAGGCCTTGAAATACATCCACAGGTACATTTTTTACATTTACATTTTAGTCATTTGGCAGACGCTCTTATCCTGAGCGACTTACAGTTACCCTTGCTTAGTTAGTGAGTGCATACATTATTATTTATTTCATAGCCCCCGTGGGAAGCGAACCCACAACCCTGGCGTTGCAAACGCCATGCTCTACCAACTGAGCTACATCCCTGCCGGCCATTCCCTCCCCTACCCTGGGCCAATTGTGCGCCGCTCCATGGGTCTCCCGGTCGAGGCCGGCTACGACAGAGCCTGGATTCGAACCACTGCGATGCAGTGCCTTAGACCACTGCGCCACTCGGGAGGCACCTCCAATTGACTCAAATGATGTCAATTAGCCTATCAGAAGCTTCTAAAGCCATGACATCATTTTCTGGAATTTTCCAAGCTGTTTAAAGGCACAGTGAACTTCGTGTGTGTAAACTTCTGACCCCCTGGAATTGTGATACAGTGAATTATAAGTGAAATAATCTGTCTGATAACAATTGTTGGAAAGATTACTTGTGTCATGCATGTCATGTTTTGTCTATCAGTTCATAAACCATGTGTCATGGAATCGGTACGTCAAAAATCTCTTCCGAACTATTTTACAATCTATATGGGACAGCTTTAATGCAGTGCCGACAGACAAGTTGCTTACTTTTTCCCCCTTCCACTTTCCTCTTCCATTTTTGCTGTAATGCTGCAATTATTTGGTTGTAATTTTGGGTAGAGCAGACATTTCCATATGTTTTTGTTAGCTGCATGTATGACATAATTCCACCAGTCCTACCTATGATATCACTTAAGAAGATTATACCTTTTTAAACATGTTTTCGGAAAAAGAAAAAGAAAAAAAAAATTACTATATTTGAGTTTGTTCTCTCGTTTCAAGAGGATTCAATTGAAATTGCAACCAACTTTCTATGGCTTGTTTTAGAAATAGTGATATTTGGGAGATGATTTCATTTCAAATAACTGAAAGTGAGAGGTTTGATCTGAATAAAGGGGGAAAATGCCATTATTGAACAAGGGGTGAGATAGTCTTACACATTTCTAGAGAACCAGTTTGGATTTAAGTATAACTTTTGTATGACTGAAGCTTTTAGTGGTAGGTCCAATGCTTAAAATATTTAATAATTTCTGTCCTCCGAATTCATATTCATTATATAAATAGGCCCGCTTAATTTTGTCTGGAATGCCATTCCAAATAAAATTGAATATTTTTTTCTCATATAAATTAAAAAACTGTTCGCTAGGTATAGGCAAGACCATAAGCAAATAGGTAAACTGGGATTATACTAAAGAGTTAATGAGTGTGATTTTTCCACAAATAGACAGGTATTTACCGTTCCATGGTAGCAAGATAACAACCCAATATTTATATCCCAGGACAAATTAGCTAGCAAGAGCATAAATTGCCATGAATGTTTTATGCGTTTCGACCTGTCTCCAAATTAATACAGTTGGTTCAGAGTTCGTTTTGATATTTCAACCTGCGTGTCCTGATCGTGTCTGATGTGGATAGACAAAATCAACATGCTTGCGATGGCGCACGCGGAAGCATGCGCGTGCCCAGTCTAGTCAGCATGTGAGGCCCACATTTAGATCCTTAGACCAATAAAAGAGCCAATTTTCAAGAAATACAAATGTTCAGAATCTGGATCAAGGTTGTATTTAGGATTGCACAATCTTGAGGGAACATACTTGGTGAAAACATACTTGCAAAGCTTTCCTGACACTTTTGCACTTGACCATCTAGCTATGGAACGCCATTTGGGTCTTTGCGTGTCAAAAAAGATACACGTCAAATAACGCTATTGACTGCACATCACTTAATAATTTAACACTTTCATGAACCTTTGACGTAGTTATTACACATTGATTACACTATCACTCGTATTTCATATGTCACAGCGATTCACCGATACGTATGCTATGATGCTGGTAAAGGTTTGTCTCGAGCACCTGCCGCTGCTGCACTTGAACGCAAATACACTTCCCCAAGCTCTAGGACAGTGCTGGTCATAAAGAAAAGCTATCAAGCTGATGCATGCAAACAATGTCCTTCCCCAGAAACATAGCGAAACGACCAAATCTGTTTCAGTAGCTATAGTTAGCTAGCTAACTATCTAGCTAGGTGTCATAATCTAAAATACCACTAATTTATAAAACAGTTATTTGATGAATGATATTTGGACCCACCTATGTGAAGCTAGACACAACAAGGATTAGCCACAATAGTTGAATTTGTGGTTCGCATTCAAAATAAAAGTATTCCATTGAAAGTGATGCAAATGAATTCAAATAGTGCCATAATAGAATAGATCATGCTACACGAGGTTGGAATGTTGTTATATAAATTCAATAAAATACTATTTGTTAATTTGACAAAAATCTGTTGAAATCACACTGTGGATGCATTACACTTTAGAATTGCATTGGGGGCATACTTATTTCACTGTACAGCCTTACCTATGGATTGTGGATCAATGACATGGGGTAATAGTCTACTTAGTGACACCCACAGAACATTAGTGTCGTAGCTCTTATTGCGGGACTCTGAAAGCACTGTGAAATTAGCCATATTTATTGTACCAGTCAACCTACTATGTGTATTGAACACTTCCAGAGGAAAAACAATACAACATGGATATTTTGTAGTCTGATAACTCTGAGGAGGACTTTGGAAAAAAAACACTTGGGTTCTGAGCAGACTGATACCCCATTTCATTGATCCCAAATCCTTAGGTAAGGCTGCACAGTGCAATATGCTAGTAGTTGCGTAAACTCTTCACAGTTGTGTTCTGTCGGTGTAACCGAGTAGACTGATACCCCATTTCATTGCTCCACATTACAACACTCCAACCTTGTTTAAAATTATCTAGTCTAAATAGGGCATGATACCACCAATTGTAACCATTTGCATCACTTTCAAAGAGGAAGTTTTATTTTGAAGGCGAACCGCAAATTCCACTATTGTGGCTAGTCTTTATTATGGCTAGCTTCATAACACATAATCCGGTCCGGTCAAGCCTCACTAGCCAGATGAAGCTAGCTGGCTGCTTATAACGTTAGCTTTGAGCAACAGTGTTAAGTAGCTGGCTAGCTAGTTATTTCCATGAACTGAAGTTCGATTTCTAGCTAATACTTACTTACATGGATTCCTAAATCATTGCTAAGCATATTGAAAATGACTGCAGTTTCTACTGGTCATTGTTTTCAGGCTGGTTGCATTGGTGCTAGCTAGGATGGTACCAAGCTAAAGTTTCTAAGAACAATTGTATGAAAGATATTTGCAAACATTTTTGATACTGCTCTTATTCCAAATGCTCACACTGATGTTTTCCTATTCTGTCGTACAAATAATGCCAACATGGTATTGTAAACACATCGTTTGTGGCCGGTGTGTGCTTGTTTGCAGACTTTTTTGTACAGCTTTGACAGTGCTACTGATCGTGGTAGTGGCGCTTGGCTTACACATGCAAATTCCGCACACACAACAATCTTTAATAGAATCGTATTATTTGATGTGTCAAATTAAAAGCTTATTTGACGCGTCAAATAGTATCTTTTTTGACACACGTATTATACGGCGTTCCATATAATATAATTTTGTTATATGACGTGTCAAATTAAAACCTTATTTGACGTGTATCTTTTTTGACACGCAAAGACCCAAGCGGCATTCCATATATAGCCACCTATAGCCACAACCAAGATGGCGTCTTTTTCATTCCACTTTCGGCTACAAGGTGCCTCGCAAGTGTCAAAGTCGTGTTGACAGTAGCGGCAGCAGTGATGCAAATTTAGCAATTTTGTTGCTAGATTTTGCAACTTTTCAGACTACCCTGGCAACTTTTTTTTCAAACAGCACCTAGCAACAAATTTAGCTACTTTTACATTTTTATTTGAAACTTTTAGCAACTTTTGAAAAGTGACTCAAACGCTAAAATGTACGCATTTTCCCTCTGAATGACACAAAAATGATTTTCTCTGTCACACACTCAGTCACAACACACGTGCCTCGCTGCAAAAGTGCATTGTGAGTGACGTCAGCAGCAGGCGCTCAGCTCGTGCACAGGCAGCAGCAGGCCAGCCAAGCAGCACAACAACCAGGAGAGAGCTGGAGAGAGATGCCTAGCCATCATTATTTGAGTTAAGTTGCTTTTGTTCAATAAGATAGCATATATACCTTGTTATTAGCTTGTACCTATAATTGTTGATCAGTTAGGTAGCATGTTAACTAACTACTAATACACTGCTTAAAACTATAATTGTTCAGAATGTGTAGATTTACTAGTTAATAAGAAAATAAATTAAATGTAATTTTTCAATAATGTGTAATTTGTAATTGTTCAATAATTCAATGTGTTGTGTTTAAAAATAAAAATATCTGATCATATAAAATGTGTTGTGTTTATATTACTTTTACAAATAAAAATATGTGATAATAAACAAACAAATCTAAACTAACAAATGTCAAATCATATTTGTAGCCGAGATGGCCAGTCAATTGTAACGTTATTGTGTATTCTATGTAATGACGCAGTTTTACGTTATTACTTAATGACGTCATCACGCAATGATATCACAACGTCATTTAGCAACTTTTAGCAACAAATCGACCTGCCCCTGGGAAAGATGAGGTGTGCTATGTTATGTTGGCCCATCTTAGTGATGAGGCACTGGATAAGGTATTGGTGTTGTACAACAGAGTGTACAATGGCTACTCCCATCTCCAGTAGTTGATCTAGAAGTGTTGGAGAGACTACAGAAAGATAGGGAGGGTGTTGATCCAGCTGATTTCTTTAAGAGACATCTGGAAACTGTGTATCAGGATTTTGATACACAGTGGCCATTTACACAGATGGTTCAAAAGATCCAAGGACAGGACGTACTGGGTCAGCATTTGTAGTGCAGGAATGTGGGGTGGAAGTCAGGAAACGTATTACAGATCATCTTGGCTGTATATACGGCGGAGCTGATGGCCATACTGTTGGCCTTGCAGTGGGTGGAGGAAGTTAAGCCAGACAGAGTAGTTATTTGCTCTGATTCATGTGCAGTGTTAATGAGTCTCCAGTCCTTTAGCTCACGTAGCAGAAAATACCTGCTTTTTGAGGTGCTACAAACCCATGGCAGGATTAAACAAATGGGTATTCAGATAAGATTTACTTTGGTTCCAGCCCATGTGGGGGTGTAGGGGAACGAGGTGGTAGATGAACAGGCTAAACAAGCACTTAGTAGTGGGGATGTTAATGTTGAAGTGTCAATGAGCAAGGCAGAGGCAAAAAGACTGATATATACAGTGATGGTGAAGAGATGGCAGGAGCAGTGGAATAGAGATAATAAGGGAAGGCATTTATTTCAAGTACAGAGGAAAGTCAGGGAGGGTAGGATGGCAGGAAGGGACAGAAGAGAGGAGGCTATTTTTACAAGATTAAGAGTGGGACACAGCCAGTTGAATAAGACATTAAACGTGATAGGAAAGCATCCATCAGGAAAGTGTGATTATTGTCAGGAAATAGAGACTGTGGAGTATGTAGTGCTACAGTGTGGGCAGTATCAGAGTGAAAGAGAGAGGATGAGATTTAGTATGAGGGAGAAGGGGATACAGGAAATTAGTTTAAAGAGTATATTGAGTAGAGCGTCATTAGATATAGTCTCAAATATTTTGTTATCTTTTTTAAGAGAAACGGGGTTGGCAGGCAGGATTTAGTTTATCCCTGTCTCTGGCCCACACTCCAGTACGGTATGTGGCGGTAATGCACCATAACATTGGATGCCAACCGCCAATAAACCGCACTGAAGAAGAAGAATCGACCTTCCTCTAGCAACTTCCCGTGAAAATGAGTTGGTAACGCTGAGCGGCAGGAACTGTCTGGGCGAGGTAGCTAACATCCCATAACCGAATGGAGTAATAATCTCGTTACATTTCATGAAAACCAGCTCACCACATTCATTATAACACTGTAAACAGTATAAACCTCCAACGAAGCCATGACAGAGGACCTGAGTGCTCAAACTTGGTCCATCAACAAGGACGATTATGTTCTCAACGAGGTGATTGGTGAGTATGGCGCTAGACACCTAGCTAGCATGCTAACCTCCTAGCTAAGCTGACTTTCTTGCAAGACAGCGAGCTAGCTAGCTCGCTAACGTATATCTGGTCAGCTAAACCTACAGCTAACCAACCTTACTTTTGACAGCTAGTAAATATATTGAAGTAACGTAACGTTAAACATGGGCCAAACGTATGTTTCTCAGTTGTGCGGTCCATGGGTTGGTTACTAGCTAGCTAGGTAGCTAACATAGCTAGTTAGCTTCCCAATGCTAACATGAATACCTAGCCTAGCTAACGTTAGCTACAGTAGCTAGCGAAGTAGGTAAACCAAGACAAGTGAATGAGTGAAGTGCTAGCTAGGGGCAGGATGGAGGTGGGTGGTTCCCTTCGCTGAAAGAAGGCGTGATAGGGCTTAGTGAGTCACTCATACCTTGTGTTAGCAAGGAGTTGGTAGCTATTAGTCTTTTCTTTCTGTGAAAATGGACTGGTTTGTGCTTCTGTATAATGCTATATGTATGGTATTGATTGTATTTTAAGTTTGAGTCGTAAAGGAGACCACTAAGTCTTGATACAGATGAAAATTGTCTTAAAGGAGACCTAAATAAGGCCAAACGTATCTCACAAATCACTTGATACAAATGCCAAAGATGTGTCAAAAATCCTTGCAACAAAGGATATTCATTATAATATAATAGCTATATAATTAATATCCTTCCAGCAAAGGATATACACTACCGTTCAAAAGTTTGGGGTCAATTAGACATTTCCTTATTTTCCATGAAAACATACGAGAAGTGAGTTTGAATAGGAAATATAGCAAAATGCATAGGAAATGTAGTCATTGACAAGGTTAGAAATGATTTTTAATAGAAATAATAATTGTGTCCTTCAAACTTTGCTTTTGTCAAATAATCCTCCATTTGCAGCAATTACAGCATTGCAAACCTTTGGCATTCTAGTTGTCAATTTGAGGTAATCTGAAGAGATTTCACCCCATGCTTCCTGAAGCACCTCTCACAAGTTGGATTGGCTTGATGGGCACGTATTACGTACCATACGGTCAAGCTGCCCCCAATAAGGGGATCCGGTGACTGTGCTGGCCACTCCATTATAGACAGAATACCAGCTGACTGCTTCTTCCCTAAATAGTTATTGCATAGTTTGGAGCTGTGCTTTGGGTCATTGTCCTGTTGTAGGAGGAAATTGGCTCCAATCAAGCGCCGTCCACAGGGTATGGCATGGCGTTGCAAAATGGAGTGATAGCCTTCCTTCTTCAAGGTCCCTTTTACCCTGTACAAATCTCCCACTTTACCACCACCAAAGCACCCCCAGACTCACATTGCCTCCACCATGCTTGACAGATGGCATCAAGCACTCCTCTGTGTCTCACAAATGTTCTTCTTTGTGATCCGAACACCTCAAACTTCGATTCGTCTGTCCAGTGTCTGTGTTCTTTTGCCCAGCTTAATCTTTTCTTTTTATTGGCCAGTCTGAGATATGGCTTTTTCTTTGCAACTCTGCCTAGAAGGTCAGCATCCCGGCATCGCCTCTTCACTGTTGACGTTGAGACTGGTGTTTTTTGCGGGTACTATTTAGTGAAGCTGCCAGATGAGGACCTGTGAGGCGTCTGTTTCTCAAACTAGACACTCTAATGTATTTGTCCTCTTGCTCAGTTGTGCACCGGGGCTTCCCACTCCTCTTTCTATTCTGGTTAGAGCCAGTTTGCGCTGTTCTGTGAAGGGAGTAGTACACAGCGTTGTACGAGATCTTCAGTTTCTTGGCATTTTCTCGCATGGAATAGCCTTCATTTCTCAGAACAAGAATAGACTGACAAGTTTCAGAAGAAAGTTATTTGTTTCTGGCCATTTTGAGCCTGTAATCGAATGCACAATTGCTGATGCTCCAGATACTCAACTAGTCTCAATAAGGCCAGTTTTATTGCTTATTTAATCAGCACAACAGTGTTCAGCTGTGCTAACATAATTGCAAAAGGGTTTTCTAATGATCAATTAGCCTTTTTAAAATGATAAACTTGGATTAGCAAACACAACATGTCACTGGAACACAGGACTGATGGTTGCTGGTAATGGGCCTCTGTACGCCTATGTAGATATTCCATAAAAAATCAGCCGTTTCCATCTACAATAGCCATTTACAACATTAACAATGTCTACACTGTATTTCTGATCAATATGATGTTCTTTTAATGGACAAAAAAATTGCTTTTCTTTCGAAAACAAGGAAATGTGTAAGTGACACCAAACTTTTGAACGGAAGTGTATATTATAGGTACTTTGTTTTATTAGTTGTATTAGTAGTTGTAGCCATATTTTTTATTAGTTCTAGGCCTATTAGTAGTTGTACAACGTTTTTATGCTGTTAATATAAATATTTTTTGTTTATTATTTAATTTGTATTATTATTAGACAGTTGACATATTTTTCTTGTTACTAAGTATTGTTTTGATTTTTTCCATTTGGACACCTCAAGAGATTTCATCCTGCTAAATGTAAAATAAATAAATATGCATTTATAGTAAATACAGGGGTATTATAGTGACTTGTTGTTGAGTATTGAAACATTACTGAAGCTAGTTAAAAGCCTGATCGTTTTCCTATAAATTTGTAACTTACATTCTTCCCCCACTGGCTTCCTATTGGCTTTTGTTGTAGTTGTCGGGTCATTACACATTACTGTAATTTGAGCCATATCTAAGACTAAGAGAGAAGACTATTTTACAATTGGAGTTGTTTGTATCTCTTCGTTGTCAAACACTGGAGTTAAATTCTTAGCTACTGTAATTTAAACCCTCATGGTTTACCTACAGTTGAAGTCGGAAGTTTACATACACTTAGGTTGGAGTCATTAAAACAAGTTTTTCAACCACTCCACAAATGTCTTGTTAACAAACTATAGTTTTGGCAAGTCGGTTAGGACATCTACTTTGTGCATGACACAAGTAATTTTTCCAACAATTGTTTACAGACAGATTATTTCACTTATAATTCACTGTATCACAATTCCAGTGGGTCAGAAGTTTACATACACTAAGTTGACTGTGCCTTTAAACAGCTTGGACAATTCCAGAAAATGATGTCATGGCTTTAGAAGCTTCTGATAGGCTAATTGACATCATTTGAGTCAATTGGAGGTGTACCTGTGGATGTATTTCAAGGCCTACCTTCAAACTCGGTGCCTCTTTGCTTGACATCATGGGAAAATCAAAATAAATCAGCCAAGACCTCAGAATAAAAATTGTAGACCTCCACAAGTCTGGTTTGCTTGGGAGCAATTTCCAAACGCCTGAAAGTACCACATTCATCTGTACAAACAATAGTACACAAGTATAAACACCATGGAACCACGCAGCCGTCATACCGCTCAGGAAGGAGACGCGTTCTGTCTCCTAGAGATGAATATACTTTGATGCAAAAAGTGCAAATCAATCCCAGAACAAAAGCAAAGGACCTTGTGAAGATGCTGGAGGAAACAGGTACAAAAGTATCTATATCCACAGTAAAACGAGTCCTATATCGACATAACCTGAAAGGCCGCTCAGCAAGGAAGAAGCCACTGCTCCAAAACCGCCATAAAGAAACCAGACTACGGTTTGCAACTGCACATGGGGACAAAGATCATACTTTTTGGAGAAATGTCCTCTGGTCTGATGAAACAAAAATAGAACTGTTTGGCCATAATGACCATCGTTATGTTTGGAGGATAAAGGGGGCCGAAGAACACCATCCCAACCGTGACGCACGGGGGTGGCAGCATCATGCTGTGGGGGTGCTTTGCTGCAGGAATGACTGGTGCAATTCACAAAATAGATGGCATCATGAGGAAGGAAAATGATGTGGATATATTGAAGCAACATCTCAAGACATCATTCAGGAAGTTAAAGCTTGGTCGCAAATGGGTCTTCCAAATGGACAATGACCCCAAGCAAACTTCCAAAGTTGTGGAAGGTATTGGAGTGGCCATCACAAAGCCCTGACCTCAATCCTATAGAACATTTGTGGGCAGGGCAGAACTGAAAAAGCGTGTGCGAGCAAGGAGGCCTAGAAACCTGACTCAGTTACACCAGCTCTGTCAGGAGGAATGGGCCAAAATTCACCCAACTTATTGTGGGAAGCTTGTGGAAGGCTACCCGACACGTTTGACCCAAGTTAAACAATTTAAAGGCAATGCTACCAAATACTAATTGAGTGTATGTTAACTTCTGACCCACTGGGAATGTGATGAAAGAAATACAAGCTGAAATAAATCATTCTCTCTACTATTATTCTGACATTTCACATTCTTATAATAAAGTGGTGATCCTAACTGACCTAAGACAGGGAATCTTACTAGGATTAAATGTCAGGAATTGTGAAAAACTGAGTTTAAATGTATATGGCTAAGGTGTATGTAAACTTCCAACTTCAACTGTATGTGTGTTACGTTCTTCCCCCTCTGTCTTCCTCTTGGTTTTGATGAAGTTGTCTGGTTATTACACGTTAATTTAAAACCTGATGATTTCCCTATCCAATGAGTGTGTTGCCTTCTAATTCTTCCATCTTGTTCGCTTGGTTTTTGTTCAAGTTGTCTGGTAACAAAACATTACGATTAGTTAAACCCTTATGTGTTCCCAATAGTGCGTGTTATGTTCTGCCCACCTCTTGGTGTGTCCCAGGTAAGAGTGCCACTGGTTCCCTTTGGATGTGTGTTACATTCTAATACTTCCCCCTTCATTTTCTCTTCAGGGAGTGGTGCCACAGCCGTGGTGCAGGCGGCCTACTGTGATCCCAGGAAGGAGAGGGTGGCCATTAAACGCATTAACCTGGAGAAGTGTCAGACCAGTATGGACGAGCTCCTGGTAACACACATATACACACACACTACAGACACGCTCCCACACATGCACGCACGCAAACGCACACACAGACACAGATAGGTATGCACACACTCACATGTTTAGAGCACATTGTCTTTCAGGAGTTGACAGTATAGCAATCAATACTATCTAATCAGTACTAGCTAATAATTTGATAGCAAGCCCTCTTAAAGGGATAGTGTGAGATTTTAGCAATGAAGCCCTTTATCTACTTACTCAGAGTCACATGAATTGTCAAAATCTCACAATATGGCCTCTGATATAGCCTAGCTTTAGAGGAGTTACTGGGGAAGATGAGAGTGTAGCAGCCGATCCACACAGACACACAAATCCACCTAGACGTTATCACTGCATTGCTGAGACCGATACAGTCCTCTCAGATTCTGTCTCTTGCTCTCTTTCTCTTCCTTTTTTTGCAGAAAGAGATCCAGGCCATGTCCCAGTGCCACCACCCCAACATTGTGTCCTACTACACATCCTTTGTAGTGAAGGACGAGCTGTGGCTGGTGATGAGGCTACTCAGTGGCGGTAAGCACTACTGTTAGAGTAAATATACTTATGGCTGCCCCTGCACTGGCCTTTCAAACTGTCTGGGATGGCAGGATTGGGATGACATGTAATTGGGATTGATATCAGGTTGTTGCCAGCTCGACTGGTAATATAGGGTTGATAATAGTAATGAAGTTGCATTTGAAATATACGTTTGTTATTGAACTACCAGACACCATCTCCATCCCAGCTGCCTGCTTACCAGGCTCTATTGGCCACAGAGCAGCAGCTTTTCTCCAGCTGTGGCCTTGGCTCTCAGCCCAGTACTGTCCATCCTCCTGGCATGCAGTAACACTGCCAAGAGATAGAGGAGGGATAGGGCATCTCAGCCCAGACTATCCTTTCTGCCTTAGAGACTGTTATGGACACCTCCTTTGAGCTTTATTTCTTCTGTGGTTTACCTTTGCTTGTAATGAAACGTGCGTGTGTGTGATAGCTATTTCTGTTCACAAAACCTAAATAACAACAGACTTTTGAAGTAAAGTACTATTGACCTAAAAGGACTTGACCAAGCAATTCATGATGTTACCGTTGTTCACTCTCTTCTGACGCATGTTCCATCCTACAGCTAACTAATAGTAACCTGGTCCTGTCATTGCTCCAGTCTTCCGTCTCTCTCTCTTTTCTGTTCTGTCTCTCTCTCAATATCTCTTTCTTTCTCAGGCTCAGTACTGGACATCATTAAACACATCATATCTCGTGGGGAGCATAAGTCTGGGGTGCTGGATGAACCGTCCATAGCCACAATCCTCAAAGAGGTCCTAGAAGGACTGGAGTACCTGCATAAGAATGGGCAGATCCACAGGTGCAGTCACATGTTTTTTATTTTTATTTATTTTTTGAACTTGAAATATTTAGCATGGACTTTACCTGTGTTTTGTTCACTGGCCAACGTCAAATTATAGGAATCTTGTGGAGTTGTGACATTCAAGAGCCAGTCAAAGACATTGGCGCACATCCTATTTCATTCTTAACTTCCTCATTCACTCTTTCATTCATGTAAACTCCCTCCTTCATTCAGTCTTTCATTCTTTAATTCATTTAACAGCTTCACCCCAGGAACACATAGTGATCTGTCATCCAGCTGAAGCACCACAGCGTCATAAAGATGAAACAGGCCACTGAAACAGGCTCTCATCTGTCTTCCAGCTGAAGCACCACAGTGCCATACAGCTGAAACAGGCCCTAGACACACAGGATAATGACTACTTTTTAGTAGTATTCACTGAACAGTATGTTTGGCTCAGATTCATGGAGTGCAGTTATCAGGAGCAAATAAAAATAGTTTACGGTTTACAGCTCAAACAGGCCACAGACACACACGATAATGACTCCTCTTTAATAGTGTGACCATGTTTGTCTAGTAGTAGGCCTCTGCTAGGTTACTACCTACTACTTAGTTTAGTTTCATTACAGGTGACTCCTGATACTGATTCATCTGGTTTGTCTGGTTTCTTCTGTTCACAGGGATCTGAAGGCTGGTAATATTCTTCTCGGGGACGATGGCTCCGTGCAAATCGCAGGTATGGTCACGTGTCCCAAGCCGCCAACTCCCTTATGCATATTTATGCTGTCAAAGTATTAACTGTTTTTTTTATTCTGTTTTTTTTACCAGTAGAAATTCTACAGACTTCCTAGCATTTACTCCTCTGGAACAAATCTATTGGTTGCCTGTCTCGCTGATCTCTCTATCTACCAACTCTCACCTCTCTCCTCCCTTCTGTCTGTCCCAGACTTTGGTGTGAGTGCCTTCTTAGCGGCGGGAGGAGATATGACTAGGACTAAGGTTAGAAAGACGTTTGTTGGAACGCCATGTTGGATGGCCCCAGAGGTCATGGAGCAGGTGGGTGGCAATCCTCTTTCTCTCTCCCGCTTTCTGTTTGTATTTATTTCTCTCTCTGTTGCTCTCTCTCTGTCTCTTGCTCTCTCTCTCTCTCTCTCCTTATCCTCTATTTTTATCTAACTTCTAGATGAAAACTAATACATCTCCAAAGACCTTAGTGGAGACATACACAATTTCCTCTTGCTTCGGATCTTTTGAGAAACTACAAGCACTTTACTGATGTGTATCTGTCGTGATTGTTTGTCAGCAACCATTTTCTCTAACTGTTAGAACAGATGCTCTTAGAAGATATTTGAAAATATATCTTACAATTATTATTCCACTCTCCTCAGGTCAGAGGTTATGACTACAAAGCAGATATCTGGAGTTTCGGGATCACAGCCATCGAGCTGGCTACAGGCGCTGCCCCATATCATAAATATCCACCCATGAAGGTGATTTATACACATTTACTTGGAAAGGTGTGGAAGCAGTGTGATCTTTATCCACCTGAAAATATATTGCTGAGACTATCCTGGCTAAATATATATTTACATTTTTACATTGACATTTTAGTCATTTAGCAGACGCTCTTATCCAGAGCGACTTACAGTTAGAGTGCATACATTTTTCATACGATATATGTGGTCCTCTGTAGCTCAATTGGTAGACCATGGCGCTTGTAACGCCAGGGTAGTGGGTTCGATCCCCGGGACCACCCATACGTAAAAATGTATGCACGCATGACTGTAAGTCTCTTTGGATAAAAGCGTCTGCTAAATGGCATATTATTATTATTATTATGAATTAAATTGCCAGCCGATGTTGTCTTATATGTTGTTTGTGTAATAACCTGGTGTTGTGTGTAATAACCTAGTCATGACCAGGTGTTGTGTTTGTAATAACCTGGTAATGACCTGGTGTGTGTAACAACCTGGTAATGACCTGGTGTTGTGTGGGTAATAACCTGGTGTTGTGTGAGCAATAACCTGGTGTTTGTATGTGTGTAGGTACTGATGTTGACCCTGCAGAATGACCCTCCCTGCTTGGAGACAGGGATCCAGGACAAGGAGATGGTGAAGAAGTATGGCAAGTCCTTCAGGAAGATGATATCTATGTGTCTACAGAAGGAGCCTGAGAAAAGGTGACTATCCCAAACACTCATTTTTTTGTTGTTGTCATTTAGCAGATGCTCTTATCCAGAGCGACTTACAGGAGCAATTAGGGTTAAGTGCCTTGCTTAAGGACACATCAACATATTTTTCACCTAGTCAGCTCGGGGATTAGAACCAGCGACCTTACAGCCACAACGCTCTTAACCACTAAGCTACCTGCCCTCATAATAGAATGTATGCCATTTAACAGATGCTTTTATCCAAAGTGGCTTACAGTACAGTAATTGCATAGATTTTAGGATATGGCCCTAGTGTGAATTGAACCAACTACCATGACGTTGCTGGGGCCACGGTCTAACCAACTGAGCCACACCGGACCACTGACTATGTAACTGACCTGAGATGGGTATAGCACATGGCTATTCCTGGAGAGCTTCCTCCCTTCAGGCTTTTGCTTCAACCCTAATCTAACAAATGTGATTCTAGGAATCAGATGTGTAACAATAAGGTTGGCTACCTAATCCCACTGTGACACAATTTCTCCAAGTTAGCATTGTCCTTTGTGTGGCACACAAAGGCAGCTATTATTATTATTATTCACCTGGGTTTCAACTTTTCTTAATCCAATTTGTTGTTGTTGAGTGGATTCTCTTCCCTCATCTGATTTCCTGCCATGGTGTGTTTAAGGTCCTGCAGGGTAGTAAATCATTGTCTCTCTGTCTTTCAGACCAACTGCTGCTGAGCTGCTAAAGCATAAATTCTTCACTAAAGCAAAGGTAAGACAGAGACTGTATATACACTGAGTGTACAAGACATTAGGAACACCTTCCTAATATTGAGTTGCACCCCTTTTTGCCATCAGAACAGCCTCAATTTGTCGACTACAGGGTGTCAAAAGCGTTCCACAGGGATGCTGGCCCATGTTGACTCCAATGCTTCCCTCAGTTGTGTCAAGTTGGCTGGATGTCCTTTGGGTGGTGGACCATTCTTGATACACATGGGAAACTGTTCAGCGTGAAAAACCCAGCAGCATGGCAGTTCTGGAATCACTCAAATCGGTGCGCTTGGCACCTACTACCATACCCCGTTCAAAGACACTTCAATATTTTGTCTTGCCCATTCACCCTCTGAATGGCATACGTACACAATCCATGTCTAAATTGTCTCAAGGCTTAAAAATCCTTCTTTAACCTGTCTCCTCCCCTCCATCTACACTGATTTTAAGTTGATTTAAAAAAGTGCCGTCAATAGGAATGATAGCTTTCACCTGGATTCACCTGGTCAGTCTATGTCATGGAAAGAGCGGCTGTTCCTAATGTTTTGTACACTGCACGTGCATCCGTAATATGTAGGCCCATTGACAAATATGGCTGCTGTTGCAAAGAAAAAGAACCATGTTGTCATGTGATTTTAATCTTGTTTGTCTGTCTCTGTCATGCAGAATAATGAATACTTGGAAGAGAAGCTCCTTCAGAAGGGTCCATCGATAGTAGACAGATCCAAAAGGGTACGAGACAACAAAATTATAACCCTTGGCATACACACACAGTGGAATTCTACGACACACAGTCGGAGCTGTTCTACACGATACAGTTCTATAATTAAAAAAATCAGCGATACAGCCTACTGAATAGGCCCCAGTGCTTATTCCAGGGTAGTGTATATAGTGACATCAAACACAGGAATCTACATAGACACATCATGCTCTGACATCACATACAGAAACAAACACTACAGGGAAAAAATATAAAATATACTAGTTAAGGTTTACAAGGGATTAGTAGTTCATCAATAATAACTAATTAACTAATTTTGTAAGATACAAGATACATACATACATTTTAGATACACGTATAATCTAAATAGTCTTTGTCTCAGTTTGTTTAATCCTAACCAGACAGCAAGTCTCTGTCCAATCTGCCCTGTACTTGTGTCAGGGAAAGGGTAGTGTAGGCCTACATAGTAGAAGAATAAGGAAGTAATCTATCTGCTGTAGCGTAGAGCACATATTTATTATTTCAGCAGCACTAGCTAACACATAGGGGACCTGAGACATGAGTGGTCATGCAGACACTGAGCATCACATCACAATGACTTCCTTCCTGCTATGTACAGCCGTAGTCTAGGCCTACAGGATGGCAGGGAAATGTTGCATTTTGTGTCTATGGTTTTACGATATTAAAAGTTTGTACATGATTTCAGAGGGACTGGTCCAAGGTGTCTTTTTTACTCAAAACCACTCAATGCCATGCTAAAGATCAAATTGTGGTTTTAGGTGCGCCGTGTGCCTGGCTCCAGTGGTCGTCTTCACAAGACCGAAGACGGGGAGTGGGAGTGGAGTGATGACGAACTGGATATGGAGAGTGAGGAGGGCAAGGCAGCCGTGGCAGCTCTACGGGTGAGACTAACCTAGTTACCCTTACCCTAGCAATCAGGTTGAAAATCTTTCAAATACTTAGCTATAGGGCCAGATTCTCAGACAAAGATTAAGCCTTGTCCTGGACTAAAAAGCATTCCCAATTGAGATTTTCATCGGATGTGCTTTTTAGTCCAGGCCTAGGCTTAATCTGTGTCCAGGAAACCATCCATTATGGTTTTCTCTAGTCTGCCTGGAGTGGTTTATTTTTAAACCATATCTGAACCCAGGTCTGCTAGCTGTAACCTTACTTTAGTCCTGTAGTGATTCAATGCCACCTAGGACTCCTCAATCAAATCAATCAATTAGTTGTTCAATCAAACCTGTTACACTGTGGGGGAGGAAAAACCTTAATTTCGTGTTCTTCTGACGTCTGTTAATCTTTGTGTCATATCCCATTCTAGTCTCCCAGAGTGAAAGATGGATCCATCGAGGTAAGCCCTGGTGTTGATATAAATCAGAATACCTAAAAACCTTTTATCTATTAATTGCAGAAACAATAGGATGCTGGCCAGCTTTAGTTTTGTATGAAATTGTATTAGAAGAATCATTGCCAAATACCTGATCTAACTCTTTAATCTGCTCTCCCCAAAAATAAGTTTATGGACATGCAGATAATGTGGTAACACTTCACTTAAGGCATACAGGAATAATGCATTATGGTGCAGTCATAATGCATTATAAGACTTGGCATAAGTATCTATAGCCACGCTCACACTGCTCTTAGCCCAGGGCTGACAGCCTCCTGACCCCTGGCCTAAGAGAATACAGAGACATTTACATTTTAGTCATTTAGTAGACACTATAGTTAGTGCCTTTATCTTAAAGAGATACTTCTCGATTTCGGCAATAAAGCCCTATACCTAGCGTTAGCGCAATTGCTTACTAGCGTTAGCTCAGTGACTGGAAGTCTATGGGTAACTGCTAGCATGCTAGTAGATACCATATACTTCCAGCCATTGTGCTAAAGCTAGTTAGCATTGGCTCGCAAAACTACCTCTAACTCCCTTCATACTGCATGCAGAGACAAATGGGATCCATGAGTTCATCTGATTCTGAGGAAGTAGATAAAGGGCTTGATTGCCAAAATCTCAAAGTATCCCTTTAAGGTAGCTTGGTAAGATGACCACAGAAGGTTGACAACCACAACCACATTTGCCTTATAAGGTGGATCAATCTCTTTCTGATACAGCATGAGTTTATCTCTGGTCCTCCTCAGATCTTCCCTACAGAGGATGGTTCTCCCAGTCGGCTCCGTCCTGGAGGGGCAGGGCAGGACAAGCCAGGCGAGGCCACCCTTACCCAGGGAGAAGCTGTAGCCCAGGACCCTGCCGTCACCAAAGTCCCCATCAGCCTGGTGTTGAGGTTGAGGTACGCATCTAGTGGGGGGTGACAGTTTTTCCGTTAGGAAAATGTGGTGCCGGACATTTAAGAAATTTACCAGACCCCCATATGCATTGGTTGCATAACCTGATTAGGGCGTCCACTCGCGATTAGGGCGTCCACCCACCCAAAGCTGTGGATTGTTTTAAATCGCATAGCCTACAGTCGGAAGGGCCCTCAATTTGGGCAAATCACGCGGCACATATCACATAGATGATTGTTGAGTTGCGACAGTCAGTGAAAAGCAGAGAGACCCTGCCAAGCATATCGCAATATAAAAACATACACAATCGTGGAAAAACAGTTTGGAAAACAAATGGCTATTGCTGTAAAGAGAAGACAATGAAAAGTCTCCAATCTATCTTTTAGTTATCAAAATTCTCTACTTAATTGACACCAGCGGAGAACATCGGCCATATCCTTGGTGAGTGGGCATATTCACTGTCTTTATCATTTGGTCAGTGCCACTTTTGTTTGTTTTTGGACAATAATTTCCTCCTCCAGGTAGGATGGATGTCATATTGTGTTTGGGTCTCCCCTTTTCGTAGGCCGATTATATGGATCTGACAATGTCGTTTTTATTGATCTGTTTGTCAGTATCAGCAGAGTAGGCCACCCTGTAATTTGTCGTATTAAAAAATATTCTGCTAATGTCTCCAGTCATATAAAGTGTAGTAAAATTGCATGAAATGTGTTTATAAAAGGCCAACATTTTCCTGTGCAAAGAAAGCTTAACATTTCTTCTCCTATCTGATATAGCCTAGGCCTACTCTAAGCCACTACGCACGCTGCATTGAACAGTATTTTTTGCGAACAGTGATTGAGTTATATTATTAGCCTAAATTATGACCATCCAATCTAATCATCACATTAGGAATATTAGGCTATTTTACATAAATCTGCAAATGTGAGGATGCATGGAATGCTTTATTATAAAGGTGAATTTCTATGGTGGAAATTAGCTTCCCCAAATTTGAAACCCACGTGCTGCCTATGTTAGAATAACTGCCCACATTTACTTTTCCTCAGCCAACAAGACGAGGAACGAACCGCAAAATCACTAGCCTATACCAATCTACTATCCCCCATAGTAGAAAACTTTACCTATTCTATTGGACAGCTTGTCGTTCTGTGCGAGAAAGAAGTAGCCTATTCCAAACCGACGATAGATCCCAAATACATATAACCAGTAGGCCTAGGCTACATCCCCAAAACTTAAAAAGGCAATGAGGCTCATGCAACAGATCAGAACGTTAAGCATAAAATGTTGATAAACTATTATTTCTTCACATTATAAGCACAGCAATGTGCACTAATTCCCATAATGCAATTAGTGGGAAAACGCCATTGTGAGCGGTTTCATGTGACGGAGATGGAAATATCCGTTAGAAATGTTGAAAGAGGGGAGATCTAAATATGCAACAACTAGCAGGGGTTGCTAATATGACTAGGATTGTGCCTTTGGCTACTGGACAATGAAAGAAAGTTCATTTGTAAACCAATGGAACATGAGAGAAAAAGGCTACTGGTTTCAATGGCATATGGAAGTCTTTATAAAATAAATGTCTTTATAAAATAATTGGTTGGATTTTGGCTAGGATACTTTGAAGCAAGGTAAGACATGCCTCATAATATTTAGTAAAACGTTCAGGTTTCAAACAATTAAGTATATGTTTTCAAAATGCATACTGCCTCCAGCTCATTGCAAAGTGGTGTGTGATGCGCTGAAGCCTGCCTAATTGCCTATGCACTTGAATGGGAAGTGCGCTTCAATTACCAATTGAGAAGTAAAAATAGTAGCTTTTTTTAATCATGGCCATTGTTGTTTTTTGCACGCGATTGCCTTTAGAATTGTTGCGCAATGATTGGGCTTATTAAAGTATGTTTCACTACAGCAGCAACAAACAGCTGTTTGAGCTGTATCAGCAGCTCTCGCGCTACATCCACAATGAATAGGCTAAAATACATTAGGTTCCCTCCCCAGATGTTTTAGAGGCAATTTTTCTCAACCCCTGGTCTGTTGACCGGTTCTGGTCCCTGGGATGTTACTGACCGGTCCCTCAGATGGTTCGCTGACATTGATTTAGTCCATTCTCCAGTGCTAGTTTTAATCAAAGTGGTCCTCCTAAGAGAAAGGATCATAACTTGATGGCCTATACAAAAAAGATTCAGAAACACTGACCGACTGAAGCGCACCGGCAGCGCACGAGTGACATTCTGAGTAATATTCCTTTTAGTTATAGCTTATTTCAATAAATATGTTGTATACATTTTTTACATTTTTAGTCATTTAGCAGACACTCTTATCCAGAGCGACTTACAGTTAGTGAGTGCATACATTTTTCATACTGGCCCCCCGTGGGAATCGAACCCACATTCCTGGCGTTGCAAGCGCCTTGCTCTACCAACTGAGCTACAGGAGGGCCCTTTATACAGAACGCCAAAGCAACACAATGTCCAGTCAGAAAATATTCTCGCTCTCTCACTCACTCACTAATACAATTGCTCAGAGAATAAAAAAAATGAAAAAAGATAGGGGTCAAAATTGACACCTTTGTTTTCATTACTGTTGCCCCCAGTCCTTGCGAGGATAACGACGCTGAACGACACTGAGCCTTTTTCTAAAATGTCTTATGAGATTGGAGAACACATTGGGAGGGATCAAAGACCTTTCCTCCATACAGAATCTTTCCAGATCATTGATATCCTTTATCTCCCTGCATGAACTGCCCTCTTCAATTAAAACCACAGGTTTTCAATGGGGTTCAAGTCTGGAGACTGAGATGGCCATTGCAAAATGTTGATTCTGTGGTCAATTAATCATTTCTTTGTGGATTTTCATGTGTGCTTGGGGTTATTGTCTTGCTGGAAGATCCACTTGCGGCTAAGTTTCAGCCTCCTGGGAGAGACAACCAGGTTTTTGGCTAAAATGTCCTGGTACTGGGTAAAGTTCATGATGCCGTTGACCTTAACAAGAGCCCCAGGACCAGTGGAAGCCAATTAGCCCCATAACATTCTCCGTCATATTCTCAATCACAGCTTTATGAGAAGTTGAACAAACAATATTAAGAGGACGATGAGGCAAATGAAGCAATTATTATCCAGTTCTGAATACTGCAGACTTTGCTTCTATCCATCCAATGATTTATAACCTAACTCACTACGGCAAGACTGCCCATTCCTCATCAGTTGACTGTCACTTTGCTCCGTCATGTGAAGCCTGTTCCATGCCTGAAGCTCCACCACCAGAAAGGAATATTAGAAAATATTTGCCTGCACTTAGTCTCTGTCCAGGCTTTCAACATTATCTTTTGTCGTGATTTGTCCAGTTGTAACATCCGATTTCGCGCTATAGCCCAACAGTGTTTAAAAAAAAATATATATATATATAACAAAAAAAGTGTTGGCCAATAGGGGCTGATACCTTTGTAAATCACAATGTTTTATCAGTAGATAATCACGATTGGACAATGGTTGACACCGCATAACCCTAATGTCCAGACCTCCTCCTAACCAGTTCTAACTCTCCTCTTCCCAGGAACTTGAAGAAAGAACTGAACGACATCCGGTTTGAGTTCATGCCTGGTAGAGGTAAGTGTCTGTCTGTTTGTGTGTGTGTTAGCTATTTCCTGCTATATCCCTCATCACACTCACCAACACATTGCTGCTCTGTTATGTTAAACTGGAGCCAACAGAGGGAGCTAACTGGCTGACTTTTGGCTGGTCTTGCACGCTTGTTTGCTTGTTAACACATACAGTGCCTTCAGAAAGTATTCACACCCCTTGACTTGGATGCGTCTCAATCTACCGCATCCGCCGATGTCGCACTTCCGCATCTGTGGTGAAAGGTGGCAGAGCTAGAGCGGTGTTTGTCAGACCATGAGACATCCCGATAATCGGTCTTCTCACAAAAAACGTCTGTAGCGTCCGAAAGGTTTCACAATTGGCCTCAGGGTGAAATCCCAGAGCGGTTTCCTTCCTCTCTGGCATCAGAGTTAGGAATGGTGCCTGTATCTTTGTAGTGACTGGGTGTATTAATACACCACCCAAAGTGTTATTAATAACTGCACCATGCTCAAAGGGATATTCAATGTCTGCTTATTTTTTTACCCATCTACCAATAGGGTGCCCTTCTTTGCGAGACATTGGAAAACCTCCCTGGTCTTTGTGGTTGAATCTGTGTTTGAAATTCACTGCTCCACTGAGGGACCTTACATATAATTGTACAGTGGGGGAAAATATTATTTAGTCAGCCACCAATTGTGCAAGTTCTCCCACTTAAAAAGATGAGAGAGGCCTGTAATTTTCATCATAGGTACACGTCAACTATGACAGACAAAATGAGAGAAAAAAATCCAGAAAATCACATTGTAGGATTTTTAATGAATTTATTTGCAAATTATGGTGGAAAATAAGTATTTGGTCAATAACAAAAGTTTCTCAATACTTTGTTATATACCCTTTGTTGGCAATGACACAGGTCAAACGTTTTCTGTAAGTCTTCACAAGGTTTTCACACACTGTTGCTGGTATTTTGGCCCTTTCCTCCATGCAGATCTCCTCTAGAGCAGTGATGTTTTGGGGCTGTCGCTGGGCAACACGGACTTTCAACTCCCTCCAAAGATGTTCTTTGGGGTTGAGATCTGGAGACTGGCTAGGCCACTCCAGGACCTTGAAATGCTTCTTACGAAGCCACTCCTTCGTTGCCCGGGCGGTGTGTTTGGGATCATTGTCATGCTGAAAGACCCAGCCACGTTTCATCTTCAATGCCCTTGCTGATGGAAGGAGGTTTTCACTCAAAATCTCACGATACATGGCCCCATTCATTCTTTCCTTTACACGGATCAGTCGTCCTGGTCCCTTTGCAGAAAAACAGCCCCAAAGCATGATGTTTCCACCCCCATGCTTCACAGTAGGTATGGTGTTCTTTGGATGCAACTCAGCATTCTTTGTCCTCCAAACACGACGAGTTGAGTTTTTACCAAAAAGTTATATTTTGGTTTCATCTGACCATATGACATTCTCCCAATCCTCTTCTGGATCATCCAAATGCACTCTAGCAAACTTCAGACGGGCCTGGACATGTACTGGCTTAAGCAGGGGGACACGTCTGGCACTGCAGGATTTGAGTCCCTGGCGGCGTAGTGTGTTACTGATGGTAGGCTTTGTTACTTTGGTCCCAGGTCTCTGCAGGTCATTCACTAGGTCCCCCCGTGTGGTTCTGGGATTTTTGCTCACCGTTCTTGTGATCATTTTGACCCCACGGGGTGAGATCTTGCGTGGAGCCCCAGATCGAGGGAGATTATCAGTGGTTTTGTATGTCTTCCATTTCCTAATAATTGCTCCCACAGTTGATTTCTTCAAACCAAGCTGCTTACCTATTGCAGATTCAGTCTTCCCAGCCTGGTGCAGGTCTACAATTTTGTTTCTGGTGTCCTTTGACAGCTCTTTGGTCTTGGCCATAGTGGAGTTTGGAGTGTGACTGTTTGAGGTTGTGGACAGGTGTCTTTTATACTGATAACAAGTTCAAACAGGTGCCATTAATACAGGTAACGAGTGGAGGACAGAGGAGCCTCTTAAAGAAGAAGTTACAGGTCTGTGAGAGCCAGAAATCTTGCTTGTTTGTAGGTGACCAAATACTTATTTTCCACCATAATTTGCAAATAAATTCATTAAAAATCCTACAATGTGATTTTCTGGATTATTTTTTCTCAATTTGTCTGTCATAGTTGATGTGTACCTATGATGAAAATTACAGGCCTCTCATCTTTTTAAGTGGGAGAACTTGCACAATTGGTGGCTGTATGTGTGGGGGTACAGAGATTATGTAGTCATTTAAAAATCATGTTAAACACTATTATTGCTACTTATTATGTGACTTGTTAAGCACATTTTTACTCCTGTTCGGGCAAAATGGTTTTGTTACAGTCTAATACTATGTAAAGTACTAAATATACTATATCACTGGTAATTTTCCACAGCTGTCCAGTACCTTCTTCACACACCGCAACAAAGGAGTGATTTGTTACTGGCTCTTTATCTTTAGGGCACCCAATGCCCATCCAGGCTGAATTCTTGTTCTATCTGTTTCGGCTCTAAAGATCTTATCACATGTAAGCTTGCCTCCCTCTTGTAGGGGTAAGCAGTTATTTGTGTAGGTGAAGTATATAAATGACTGTGATTCTGTAGATTTTTTTTGTTTGTCCGCCCCAGTATATCCTGAGTGAACTTCCCTGCAATTGCTTGAATTAACTCTTATTTACTGGATAATGAGCTCTGCCTGATCCTTGGAACGAGTTTTCCTCAACACTCCTGAACTTATTTAGGCTTGCCATAACAAAAGGGTTGACTACTTATTGACTCAAATTATTTCAGCTATAAACATTTTTATAAACATTTATAAAAATTATAATTCCACTTTGACATTATGGCGTATTGTGTGTAGATCAGTGACACAATCTCAATTTAATCAATTTTTTTATTCAGGCTGTAGCACTACAAAATGTGGAAAAAGTCAAGAGGTGTGAATACTTTCTGAAGTCACTGTAACTAACATCTACCGTATTTTCCGCACTATAAGGCGCACCGGATTATAAGGCGCACCTTCAATGAATGGCCTATTTTAGAACTGTTTTCATATATAGGGCGCACCGCATTATAAGGTGCATAGAATAGAAGATACTGTAGTCAAACGGTTGACTGGGGTTGCGTTATGCATCCACTAGATGGAGCTGTGCTAAAGGGAATGTCAACAAAACAGTCAGATAAAGTCAAACTTTATTAAGCGTTCTGACAACTCCGTTCACTCCCATGGTAACGTTGTTCAAACGTTAATGTGCATATTAACAATATCTCCCAGCCTTGCTCACTCTTCTCCCAAACGTGGAGGGGAACTTTTCCCTGATTCAGTAAACACGTAGTAAAAGAAACAGTCTGATACCACTAAATCAAACGTTAGTGCATAACTCAACATTGTTCAGTTACGTATAACACGTAAAGCTCACTTTTTCAGTTCATTCCCCGTCCACGAATCCCTCGAATTCTTCTTCTTCAGTGTCCGACTTGAACGGAAACTCTGTTTAGTCTTCTTTACTTGGCGCAGGTCATCTTCTTGCTTCCTCCACTTCCGTACCATTGATTCATTAATGTTGAATTCTCTCGCTGCTGCTCTATTCCCATATTCTACTGCGTGAACGACAGCCTTGAGCTTGAACTCTGCGTCGTAAGCATGTCTCTTGAAAGGTGCCATTTTGGGGTCTTTATACACACACAAGTGGTGTGGGACTGTGAGTAAGCACAGTACCGGTGTTTACTGACTACGGTAGCCGTAATGCTGCAAGCGGTGCGGCTTTGTAGTTTACCAGTCGTACTGAAACATTTCATTATTATTAAATTGTTTTTATTGGTTTTTCATACTGAAACATTTTGACAGAGCGCCTTGAGCGCCGTGTACAACCAGTATGGATCAAACAATTAACCAATTGATCCATATATAAGGCGCTCCGGATTATAAGGCGTACTGTCGTTTTTTGAGAAAATTAAAGGCTTATAGTGCGGAAAATACGGTAATCAAAAGAGGACCATCGCACTCACCCAAAAGTTTGGTGGTTGTATAAAACCTGTGAATCCAGATGAGCAAAAAAGTGTGATGGGATCCGCACTCAAAAATATGTTGCATAAAGCTTACTTTATATGTAAAAAATATATACCTTTATTTTCACTGCTTCAGAACAGATGTTTCAACTTAACAGCCTTCTTCATGTAGGTTCAAATCTTTTCAGATCAGAAACAGCATTTATAGGGAACAAAAGTGATCAACAGGTGAGAAGCAGGTGTTTCTAATCAGGGTTGCCAGTCATCTGCCAATCAGGGATGTGGCTTTTCTGGTCTACCTGTATACTGGTTACAATCACAAAGAAATACAGAATATGGACCCCATCACACTTTTTTTTTCTTCACATAACTAACCACTCCTGACTCTCTGGATCTCCCCCATCTATCTCTTTCTCTCTCGCTCTCTCTCTCGCTTCCTCTCTCTCTCTCGCTTCCTCTCCCCCCCCCCCCCCCCCCCCCCCCCCGGCCGTCCTCAGATTCAGCAGATGGAGTGTCTCAGGAGTTGGTATCTGCAGGTCTAGTCGATGGGAAAGACGTAGTGGTTGGTGAGTATGAAACCAAAGCTAAGAGAGATCTAGGATAACATATCCCAGTCCCTGACTGTGATAACTTCACCAAAGCCACTAGAGGTCAGTAAAGTCACAGGTCAGGCTGAAATGAATGATTGCGACAACATTTTGGGTATGTGGAAATATAATAATTAGTAGTATGTGACCATTAGAAAATTTAGTATGCTTTAAATGCCAGGATGTCATACTCATTTTGGCTTTTCATCTAGTCGATTTATCTGCACACTATTAAGGAAGAGAATCATATTTTCAGACCCACGTGTGTTTGACAACAGCTGATAATCAAAGAAGGGGACAGGCTGTAGAAAAATGAACGAATGGCTGGAAACAACGCAATTGCGCATTAGATGACACATTCTCAGTATGGGTGAGCCTAGTATGTTGATATTTGTTGCTTACTGCATACATTTTACTAAACAGTACGTTCTAAATAGTATGTAGAACGATTAGTACACAGTATGTCGTTTTAGTAAGTAGTAGGCAAGACACATTTTAGACACGGTCATTGACTCGAGAGATGGCGAAAGTTATGCTGGTTTTAGAGAGGTTCAGATTCTTGATTCCACCTCTGTATTCTTTCCAGTTGCTGCAAACCTGCAGAAGATTGTTGATGATGCTTTCAACAATAAAAATATCACTTTCAAACTGGTAAGTTCAATATTTTGTTTCAAACAAAAGCTTCCATTTTTGGCCTGTTGAAATAGCCCTGCTCAAAGAGAGATGCACTGAACATTTATTTTTCTATCTTTCTCAGGCATCTGGCATAGACGAGTCGGAGATCCCTGACGATGTCAAACTGATGGGTTTCGCTCAGCTCAGCATCAGTTAACTCAATATTCCGTCAACAAAGGAGAACAAACAGTATTGCACAGCAGCATAGTTCTAAATTCCAAGACACCACTCTTGCCAAAGAAGAGCGCTACAGTGCATTTGTCAACCTGTAGGGTTCTTTTCTTTACTGAAACCTGCAGTGTTAGTTAAAATAGATGGGCTCTGAGAATGGGACCATTGTAACAAAAAGACAACAGTTAGAACAGGAAATCACTTAAAAGAGTTTACAGCAGTGTATCTGGGAGGGAGGACGGCAACGCAATCGACTTAAAAATAAACAACAAATGTTTCTTACTTAGTTTTCTACATTTAGCTCTACAATCCAAAACATATTCTAATATAACTCCTGTCAGTTCTGGAAGTGATAACTTATAGTGCCTTCGGAAAATATTCAGACCCCTTGACTTTTTCCACATTTTGTTACGTTACAGCCTTATTCTAAAATGGATTAAATAAATACAAATCCTCATCAATCTACACACAATACCCCATAATGTCAACGTGAAAACAGGTTTTTAGAAATGTTTGCATATGTATTAAAAATAAAAAAACAGATACCTTATTGACATAAGTATTCAGACCCTTTGCTATGAGACTTGAAATTGAGCTCCGGTCCATCCTGTTTCCATTGATCACCCTTGAGATGTTTCTACAACTTGATTGGAGTCCACCTTTGGTAAATTCAATTGATTCGACATGATTTGGAAAAGCACACACCTGTCTATATAAGGTCCCACAGTTGACAGTGCATGTCAGAGCAAAAACCAAGCCATGGGGTCAAAGGAATTGTCCATAGAGCTCAGAGACAGGATTGTGTCGAGGCACAGATCTGGGGAAGGGTACCAACAAATGTCTGCAGCATTGAAGGTTCCCAAGAACACAGTGGCCTCCATCATAGTTTGGAACCACCAAGACTCTTCCTAGAGCTGGCCGCCCAGCCAAACCTGAGCAATCAGGGGAGAAGGGTATTGGTCAGGGAGGCGACCAACAACCTGCTGGTCACTCTGACAGAGCTCTACAGTTCTTCTGGAGATGGGAGAACCTTCCAAAAGGACAACGAACTCTGCAGCACTCCACCAATCAGGCCTTTATGGTAGAGTGGCCAGACGGAAGCCACTCCTCAATAAAAGGCACATCACAGCCCGCTTGGAGATTGCCAAAAGGCACCTGAAGACTCTCAGACCATGGTCTGATGAAACCAAGATTGAACTCTTTGGCCTGAATGCCAAGTGTCCCTTCTGGAGGAAACCTGTCACCATCCCTACAGTGAAACATGGTGGTGGCAGCATCATGCTGTGGGGATGTTTTTCAGTGGCAGGGACTGGGAGACTAGTCAGGATTGAGGCAAAGATGAATGGAGCAAAGTACAGAGAGATCCTAGATGAAAACCTGCTCAGGACCTCAAGACTGGGGCGAAGGTTCACCTTCCAACAGGACAACGACCCTAAGCACACAGCCAAGACAACGCAGGAGTGGCTTCGGGACATGTCTCGGAATGTCCTTGAGTGGCCCAGCCAGAGCCCGGACTTGAACCCGATCGAACATCTCTGGAGAGACCTGAAAATAGCTGTGCAGCCACGCTCCCCATCCAACCTGACAGAGCTTGAGAGGATCTGCAGAGAAGAATTGGAGAAACCCCAAATACAGGTGTGCCAAGCTGGTAGCGTCATACCCAAGAAGACTCGAGGCTGTGATCGCTGCCAAACGTTTGCCCACTGACAAAGAAATGATCAGTCTATCATTTTTATGATAGGTTTATTTGAACAGTGAGAGACAGAATAACAACAACAAAAAATCCAGGAAAGCGCATGTCAAAAATGTTATAAATTAAGCAATCAATCAATCAGATTCCAAACTCTCCACCATGGCCAAGACCAAAGAGCTCTCCAAGGATGTCAGGGACAAGATTGTAGACCTACACAAGGCTGGAATGGGCTACAAGACCATTGCCAAGCAGCTTGGTGAGAAGGTGACAACAGTTGGTGCGATTATTCGCAAATGTAAGAAAAAATTAATAACTGTCAATCTCCCTCGGCCTGGGGCTCCATGCAAGATCTCACCTCGTGAAGGTGCAACGATCATGAGAACGGTGAGGAATCAGCCCAGAACTACACGGGAGGATCTTGTCAATGATCTCAAGGCAGCTGGGACCATAGTCACCAAGAAAACAATTGGTAACACACTACGCCGTGAAGGACTGAAATCCTGCAGCGCCCGCAAGGTCCCCCTGCTCAAGAAAGCACATATACAGGGCCGTCTGAAGTTTGCCAATGAACATCTGAATGATTCAGAGGAGAACTGGGTGAAAGTGTTGTGGTCAGATGAGACCAAGATCGAGCTCTTCGGCATCAACTCAACTCGCCGTGTTTGGAGGAGGAGGAATGCTGTCTATGGAGGTGGAAACATTATGCTTTGGGGGTGTTTTTCTGCTAAGGGGACAGGACAACTTCACCGCATCAAAGGGATGATGGATGGGGCCATGTACCGTCAAATCTTGGGTGAGAACCTCCTTCCCTCAGCCAGGGCATTGAAAATGGGTCGTGGATGGGTATTCCAACATGACAATGACCCAAAACACACGGCCAAGGCAACAAAGGAGTGGCTCAAGAAGAAGCACATTAAGGTCCTGGAGTGGCCTAGCCAGTCTCCAGACCTTAATCCCATCGAAAATCTGTGGAGGGAGCTGAAGGTTCGAGTTGCCAAACGTCAGCCTCGAAACCTTAATGACTTGGAGAAGATCTGCAAAGAGGAGTGGGACAAAATCCCTCCTGAGATGTGTGCAAACCTGGTGGCCAACTACAAGAAACGTCTGACCTCTGTGATTGCCAACAAGGGTTTTGCCACCAAGTACTAAGTCATGTTTTGCAGAGGGGTCTAATACTTATTTCCCTCATTAAAATGCAAATCAATTTATAACATTTTTGACATGTGTTTTTCTGGATTTTTCTGTTGTTATTCTGTCTCTCACTGTTCAAATAAACCTACCATTAAAATTATAGACTGATCATGTCTTTGTCAGGTGGGCAAACGTACAAAATCAGCAGGGGATCAAATACTTTTTTTCCCTCACTGTAAATGTCATATTTCCTTTTTTTATTTGTAAAATCCTGTTTTTGCTTTGGCATTATGGGGTATTGTGTGCAGATTGATGAGGAAAAAAGCAATTTTAGAATAAGGCTGTAACCTAACAAAATTTGGAAAATGTCAACGGGTCTGAATACTTTCCAAAGGCACTGTAAATGCCTTTTTATAAACAGTGCCACTGAACCAACACACAACTGAGTGTAGTGCGTAATAGCATCCTTATACTGTTATCTGAATTATATAAGCTGCCTCATCAATATCCACCTTATTCCCTACATAGTGCACTACTTTTGAGCGGGGCTGCCATTTCGGATGCAGACATAGTATATTACGAAGTGTAAATTAGTTATTTAGTAAGGATCTATTACAGTATGGATCTGTAGAAGAGTGAGTGAATGGCTGATGAAAAGTGACTTCCCTTGATAACATTGAAATTGAACTATAAGGGTCCCTAGTCATGAATCTGAAATAACTGACATCATATAGTGTATGTCATTACATACGTTGACATAAGGTTTTTTAGGTGTGTCGTACGCTTTCCTAGGTCTTTCATCTGTTGACATAAGCTGTTTATAAGCTCTCATAGGTGTATTAAAAGTTGGCATTAGCTGTCGTAAGTTCTCTTACATTTACATTTTAGTCATTTAGCAGACGCTCTTATCCAGAGCGACTTACAGTTAGTGCATACATTTTCATACTGGCCCCCCGTGGGAATCGAACCCACAACCCTGGCGTTGCAAGGGGCCTGTTATAACCTCTCATTGGTATATCATTATGTTAATATAAGCTGTGGTGTTAGTTGTTCAGGTTACCCCAGACAGACCGGCAGAGACAGACAGAATGACGACATTGCTCTAACAAGGAAGGGGTCTGTTCAGAAAGGAGCAATGTTATAGGGTAGCAATGTATTGTGCAGAACCGATAGGATTGCCTGTCGTATAGATTTCGGAATTGGGTCTGCTCTATTCATACATTTCAATCTGCAAACATTCTGAACGATTATCCAGAGTTAATTCGCAAAGACGGTAAAACAATAACTTACTGAGATCTTGATTATGGTCTTGGGACTATGCAACTTTGTCTCCGTGATGTTCATTACCAGCGGTTCACTAGTCACTGGACCGCTGTACTCCCGCTAGCTAGCTGTCGTCATGATGGCTGTTGTTTCTTCCTAGATGGACAAATTCATTTGTATCATAGCCTTGTTCTCCAATCCATCCACACTCACCTCAAAGTCACCGACTGTTGTCACTCCCACTTTACGTTGTATGTTTGTTTGTTTTGTTAGTTGGTTGGTATGTGTGTTTCTGTACAGTGTTCCAGGGGCTGTGTGTGTGTTCAGGTACTGTTGTAAATTGGTCTATTTAGCAGATATTGTATTTCAAAAAGGTACATTACATTATAATGGCAAGCTGGTGATGCCACAACATGCGCAGTTTTTCACACACCCTCCCAAAGGTCTGTATGTGAGTAGGAAGCAAAGCAAAGTATCGACTGTTTCTGGAGTACATTTCTAATACGGAAAGAAGGCTCTTTAGTTGTACATATGATTGTGGCAGATAAACAACTGGTATACTTTATCAGTAGCTCATCCAGTATCTCTATAGGTTAAAATAATTGGTTGTTTTGTTTTATAGATTTTTCCACTGTTGGCCTTTGTTAGATAATCATCACTAATTCCATGTTTTGTTGCTAATCATGCCACATGTGATTTGCTGAATTGGCACCTTATTATTGATATTAACGTACATATTTGAGTTAGTTCATTAAGGCTTGTCATCTAGCTCACAATTGATGCTTTTGTTGTCATGGAGATAGTAATATGCAATTTGTTTTTTGTTTTGTTTTTCCATTGAGACTTTCTTAATCACTGAAACCTGTACAATTTAGAGTTTCCTGTAGTAATACAAACTGGAATGATGTTCCTCAAGAAATGTAAAAGTAGGCCTAGCTAACTAACAACAAAATGACACAGAACTGACACCATTCCCACTGGTGTGATATGTTGCTTTCAGACTGAGCAATATGTTGAAGAATGTTAGCCTGTATGTCAGTCTGTTTGTGCCAACTCCCTGTCACTCATTGAAGAATGTGTGAGCTGATAGCAAAATGTCCTGGGTTTTAATCTCTTTTTCCCTCTGTATTGTGAATCCAATTGGAAAGCCAATGTTGTCAGGTAGATATCGGTCAGAAGGCGAACTCTTTGAATGATTAGTATTTATTATGACACTTACTTGGATCTGATTGAACTTGTATGATTTTGTTATTTTTTATTAGTTGGAAGTTGGTTTATTTGAAACCAACGCATATATATTTTTGACGTTATTATGTGTATCATCAAAAAATGTGCAAGTGATCAAAATCAATTGTGTTGATTATTTGAAGAATGCTATTTGTGAAATCTTAGCATTAAATTACAACTTGAT